CTGCCCTCCCTCCCTTCTTTCCTTCCCTCCTTCTGCTAAGAATTGAAGTAGGACCTTCTACATGCTAAGCATGCACTCTACCTCTGAGCTACACCTCCAACTTTATTTTGCTTATACTTGGAAATTTCTTTCTTGCTATGTTTCCACTTTTTTGTCAGTCACGGGCCTTGAACTCAGAGCCTGGGTGCTGTCCTTCAGCTCTTTTGTTCACTCTACCACTTGAGCTGCAATGCTGCCACTTCCGTATGTCTTCATTTTTACATCTTGTTGTTTTATGATATCATTTGTACTCTTAAAATTCTTAAACCATCTGGAATTAATGGGAATGGAATAGGAATCTAATATTTCCTTTAGCAGTTAACCATTTATTACACAACATTTCCTCAAGTGATCATTATCTGATACACCAGACTCTTTCAGGCTTCTGGTATGTTTCATTGCTCTACCTGTATATTTGTATGTTAGTATAATCCTATTTTATATGACATTTACTATTGTTGTATGATGTGTCTCTCCTCCTCTCCCCTTTTAAAATACTTCTGGCTATTTTTTGTTAGATAAGCTTTATGGCTATCTTCATTTCCTTTAAAAATCTCTTTGGGAATCTTTATTGGAATTGCATTAAGTGCATATATTAATTTGCAAAGAATTAACATTTTTAAAATATCAAGTTTTTCTTTCTACACACTTGGCATGTTTTCTCTTTTGGTTGAAGTTTTTAACATCTCAGTAAAATTGTATACTTTTTATTATGTAATCCTTGCATGTTTCTTATTCAGTTTATACTTAGAGATTTTGTTTTTGTTGCCATTGTGATTAGGTTATTTTTCCCTGTTATATTTTCTTTTCTTTTTTTGGGGGGGGGGGTCCAGTCATGGGGCCTGAACTCTGGGCCTGGGCGCTGTCCCTCAGCTCTTCAGCTCAAGGCTAGCACTCTACCACTTAAGCCACAGCACTGCTTCTGACTTTTTTTCTTTTTGCTTATGTGGTGCTGGGGAATTGAACCCAGGGCCTCATGCATGCAAGGCAAGCACTCTACCACTGAGCCACCTTCCCAGCCCCTCCCTGTTATATTTTCTATCTGGCTCTCAGCTATTGAAGGAATATATTGATTTTTGTGTTTACTTCATAATCATCCCCTTTACTGTATCATCTTATTAGTTCTTCTATTATTTCAGTCAGTTCTGCTGAATATTCTAGTCAGGCACTTGTATGATTTTCAAAGAAGGACAGGCATATTTTGGTCCTCTTCTTCTGAAAAACCAGTAGCTCTTATTTGTTTTTTCCTGCCTTATTGTGTTGGCTAGAGCTTCTAAATTCATGAAATGGTAGTAGAGGTAGTAAGACTCCAAAGGAACTTCTAGGAACTGGGCCAGATATGACCCAACCTCAGCCCTATTGCTTCTTGAGATGCTATTTGTTCAATCATGAATTATTTTCTGATGCTTTCTGTGGGCTAGGCCCTGTCCTGGATATTTGGGATTGAAGATGATTTACACAGAAGCTCAGAATGACCAGATCCTTTATGGCTCGGTCCTCTTTTTGTTTTTTTCTCACTCCTTCTCTGGGCCTCAGCTACCCAAAGCCCTCTCTTGTCTCATCTCACAACGCTACCTGCTGGGAAGGGTCCCAGAACAGTTCCCATTCCTTCTATGTACTTCCATGTACTTCACCTTCTCCTAGCCTTCTAGTTCTTGTAGGCTCTGGGACGTAGGCCAGGCAGAATCTAAAGTCTCCATGCACATAGCAACTATGGTTTCCTTGAGGTCACACAGATTTTGGTTGGCTACAGAGCTGAGTCTAGAAACCGGATTTTTTTTCCTCATCAAGGCAGATATGATTCATTACACTTCATGTTTTAACCACTCTCTTAGGGGTCTGGCTAGGGAGATGTAGGGTCTTTTCCATCCCAGAAGCCACCTTTGACTCAACGGGGAAACTTGAGCATCTGTTGAGTTTCACTTCCATTTTGTCTTCTTCCTCCAGCCTCAGTGTGGCTGTGTAAATCCCTTCAAGGATTTACTCACACCAAGCTCTTTGCAGTCTTCCTGTCCTCCGCTCAGCTCTGGAGTATAGCTTTTCACTGCATTGTGCTGAAATGTAAAGAGCCTGGGCTCTGGAACCAGACTTCCTGAGTCTAACCCCCACTTTCTTACTCTTTGAGCTTGGATGAGTGATATATCCTGCCTCAGTTTTCCTCTTCTGTAGAGTGGGGATCATGATTACTGCTACCCCATAGATTTGGGAGATTAAAGGGGCTAACATCTGTGCAGGGATTAGGAACACACTCCATAAATGCTAGAGCTGCTCTGTCTAGTTTCTCCCATAAGTTTCCTGAGGGTTAGGCTGTGCATTCTGTTTCCCTGTGTTTTCACCACACTTGGCTTACAGTAGATGTTTAATACATGCCAATGTCCCTGTCTCTATCTCTGTGCTGGTCTCTGTCTCTATCTTTGTGCCAGTACTGGTACTTGAACTCATGGCCTGGGCACTTTCTCTTTTTTTTTCTCCTCAAGGCTGGTGCTCTACCACTTGAGCTACAGCTCTACTTTCTGCATTTTGTTGCTTAATTGGAGATAAGAGTTCCAGACATTCTTGCCCAGGTTGGCTTCAAATCATGATTCTTAGATCTCAGCCTCCTGAGTAGCTAGGATTATAAGGATGGCCCACCATTGCCCAGCTGATATCTGCCTTTATTAATATCTTTGGGCAGAGATTATGCCCCAAATACTACCGCTGTTGGGAATGTAGAGAGAAACCCCACATAACTAAAATGCTGTGGGCTCTGGACCAAGGATCAAGACTGTCATCTCTTTGGGGCATCATTTCCTGCTTTGTAAAACGACCGAGCAAGGGACTCAAAGACCCATGCCTGCCAGCTTTTGTATGCCAACTCATTTGTCAGCTGTGGACTGAGGTGGGCACAGGCTGGGTGAGGAGAAGCTTCATCCTTTTTTGGCCACAGGAATCCTCAGTAGCCCAAGCCTCGCTGCACTGCGCCGAGGACATAAAAGGCATAGCACTGAGCTCCTGAGCAGCTAAGGGTGGAGGAGGATCTAGAGAGGAAGCTGCAGGGGCAGGTGGATCCTGGAGGTGAGGATCTTCAAAAGTGAGCTAAAGGGGTGCAGGTGGGGTTGGGGTTCTGTGGCTCCAGCAAGGTAAAGCTGACCTTCAATGTGTGGCAGGCAGCTGGCCTGAAGCTGGAACGGTGGGAAAGTGAGGAAAGGGATTATGAAAGAAGCCTCCAGACTTTCCAAATGAGATGAGCGCCCACTCTTGCCCTGTGCTGGAAGCTATAAGGCTGCGTATAGCACATGCCTCACCATACCTGAGCCTATTAGGAGAGCAGCAAAAGGCTATCCCTTTTCCTCTGGGGGGTTGGAATGGGAGATTGCTGGTGGAGTCAGTGAGGTTGGAAGTTCTGAGTTCTGATGAAGAATCAAGTGGGAATTAAACAAAGTTGGCTAAGCTAGTCTTCCCACATGGCATGGCCCATGGGTTCCAGCCTGTAAATCTAGGAAGCCAGCGTACCCATGAGCATGTGTGTACTTGCGTGCATGTACATGCATGTGCTCCTATGTGTGTGCTTGAGCCCCTTTGCAAGGTGAGGCAACTGAGGCCCACAGAGATTAAATTCCCTCCCAGGTCCCACTGTGAGCCTGTGTGAGGTTCAGAGCTTCCCCCAGGACCTGTGCCCTTCAGGCTTAGGAGCCGGGGGAGGGGGGATGGGTTGGGAGTTGGGAGCTCTTAGTAGATGATAGCTGTATTGACTGACATCTTAGGCGCTGCTTTCTGAGTAACATGGTCGTGTTTGATAAAATGGGGGCCAGAAACTGGGGTGCTAATTGTCCCCATGGGAAATACTGGGTGGACTCTAGGCCCTGCACCCAGGGCCTGAGGTCAAGGTACTGGTGACAGGACTCTCCTGTGTGCAGGGTGTACAGTTCATGCTTCTGGCTCCCCAAGTTCATTGTCTAGTCCTACTTGTGGGGCAGGAGCATAGGCCTGGAGTCACATTTCAGGCTCCAGTTCTAGTTCTGACAGCGCCACATCTAGGGCCTCCTACGGGGGGGTCTCAGTTTCCCCAATTGTGTTACAAGGACAATCCCAGGTCCCTTACCCATTCATTCCATCTAGCTAGCATGGAAGTGACATAAGGTAACCTTCATGGCAGTGTACCAATGAGTGACTGTCCTTAGGAGGTGACGACCCACTCCCTGGGAGAAAATAGAAATCTCTCCCTGCCTTTCACAGAAACTCTCTGAGAGCCTAGAGGAAATGGCAGAAAAGAGATAGTCCTGGCAACACATGCAGGTGGACTGGTTACCTGAGGGATGGGCCAGGGAAGGCGAAGGCCCATTTGGCTGTATGGTGAAGAACACAGCTGGTGACCCAGGCAGATTTTCTAAGTGGATCAACCTCATGAGCAAGTGGCATGATGGTGCATGGTGCGACGGAGAGAGGGTGGCTGTGGTCTGATGAAGAAGCCAGAGGCCCTCTCTGTGAAACTGGCTGGTGGCAGGAGAGAAGAGTTTGGCCTGGAGGGCAGGAGCCAGGGTTATGAAAGACTGAGACACGGGGCTGGGAAGGTGGCTCAGTGGTAGAGTGCTTGCCTTGCATGCCTGAGGCCCTGGGTTCGATTCCTCAGCACCACATAAGCAAAAAGAAAAAAGCCGGAAGTGATGCTGTGTCTCAAGTGGTAGAATGCTAGCCTTGAGCTGAAGAGCTGAGAGACAGTGCCCAGGCCCAGAGTTCAGGCCCCACAACTAGACCCCCCCCCAAAAAAAGAAAAAAGACTGAGACACTAGAAGAAAGCATCTGGATTTCCTGCAGTTTGTGTGAGCTATGGAAGTAGTTGGAGTAGAAGAGTAATGGAATTGGAGAAGACTCCCTTCTGGGGCACAGGTGGTTGATAGGGAGGTACTGAAGCAGGGGAGCAGGCAGTGAGCATCCTTTCTAGATGACTGGATGGTTAAAGCAGACTTGTTTTGTTGTTTCAGGGACAGAAAGGAGATCCGGGGCTTTCACCAGGCCAGGCCCACGATGGAGCAAAGGTAGGTTCCACAGACTCCAGTGCTCAAGGGAAGAAGGAACGTGGCCTCACCCTCCTCAGGCAGATGCTCTGGCAGAGGCTGTGTGTGTCAAAGACGGGGGATGGACAAGTCTGGAAAGGTTGGGGTGGCTTCTTTCTTTTTCTTTTCATTTCTTCCTTGAAATCCTCCAGGCTCTCCCAACACCAAGCCATGACTACCCCCAGTGCCTTCATCCCAAGTGAAAATGAGAAAAGGCTTTGGCTATAGACACACCTTGGTGAACAGCCTTTTGTTCAGTGCTCTGAAGAGCTTTCTGCATAGCCTGTGAAGTGACCTTGGCACTACCTTTTTTTTTGTCTGTCCTGGGGTGGGTCTAGGTGCTGTCTCTGAGCTTTTGTGTTCAAGGCTAGTGTTCTACTGCTTGAGCCATAGTTCCCCTTCTGGCTTTTTATACTTAAGTGGAGGTAACAATGTCATGGACTTTCCTGCCTGGGCTGGCTTCAAACCACAATTCTCAGATCTCAGCTTCCTGAGTAGCTAAGATTGCAGGTGTGAGTCACTGGTGCCTACCTGGCATTAGCTTCTTGGCACCCATGTCCAATAGCTTCCAAGCTTCCACCTTAGGTTGTTGATCAAAGCAGATGGTCTGTAGACTTGTAGGAGATAGACAGGAAAGGGCTAGGCTTTTAAAGCTTGCTCACTCCCATACCGCAAGTCTGCTGTGTAGGCTAAAACATTTGAGCCAAGGACTCTCCGTCCCTGAAGCAGCCATCCTGTGGCCTAACAGGGACAGAGGTGAATCCAGGGGCCTAGAACTCAAGGCGAGTTCACCCTATGCCTTATGTACTATACTATAAGGATGCTGTGTATGTCCATCTTTCCTGTGGACATAAATCAGGGCTATCCTGACTGCCAGGATGGTACTGAAAACTGAGCTGTTATGTGAGGACCAGGCAGCTCCTGCCTTTGCTTTCCCTGAGTCACAAGTGGCTCAGTACTTTATACTCTCCCCTAAATATGTTTATCCAGTCAACATGGCTGGGGGAGACCTGAGACCCTGGATGGTGTCCATATACACTCACCTTCAATACTCCCCAGAGCCTTATAAGCCAGGGAGAATGACCAGCTTACACTCTGAGAAAACACCCCACCTGGCTGGCTTGTTAGAGGCTTGGCAGCCTGGGCCTGTCTCATGCTCCTGCCTGGCCTGCTTTCAAGTCTCCTGCTTTCAAGTCCCCCCTACTTAGAGTCCACTATGACCAGCAATGGGAAGAGCAGACTGGAATGCAGGACAGGTGCTTTCTGTCTGGAGTGTGGTTCAAGCCATGATTTCAGCATCAGAACCCATTCTGCAAATGCTGGCTTTTCCTAAAGCTCAGGATTAAAAAGCAGGTTGAGTTGAGAGGGCCTGAGTCCCGGCACCCCTCCACTCTTACTCTTCTTGCTTTCCTCTGAGTCTCCTCTGGGGCTTTTCTATGATTTGTTGTAGATAGCATGTCTCCAATCTAGCAAGCATCTCCAGCCTGCCCCTGCCTAACCCCCTTGCCTGTGTCTTCCAGGGTGACATGGGCTTGCCTGGGCTCTCCGGGGATCCAGGACCGCGGGGACGGAAGGTATGTCTGGGCTCTGCAGCATGGCCATGGCTTGCCAGCAAGCCAGACTTTGGCAGCAGCACTGAGGGCCGTCTGCCCTCCCTGGCCTGGCCTGCCTCCTTGGGCACAGGGTGTGCTGGTGGGAGGTGTGGAGTTTCTGAGGGGTGGGTTTGCAGGGTGTCAAGTGGACCTTGTCATGGAATGTTCCCCACACCCTTGTGGTTAGGGAGGGCTGAGGAAGGGTGGTCCTGGCTTGCTTTGTTTTCTGAAGGGCTGCTTGTAAGGATGCTTGAGGAGATGGAGAGCTCTACGGATCAGTCAGAGCCTGTGGCTGCAGAAGTCTAGCTCTTCCATCCCTGGACCTGTGTCTCCTTCCTCCCATGTGACATGGAGACAGTGGTCCCCTCCCTGCTCAGCATGGCCAGGACCTGGGGCAGGAGTCAGAGGAACCTGGATTCTGCTCCTGCTTTCCTCTGCCATTTTCTGGTTGGGTAACAGGGCAGTTTGGTAGCCACTTCGAGTCAAACTTTCTTCCCTTGCTAATGGGCTACAGGTGGAGGGTGTGACCTCTGGAGGCCACATGCTCTCTGAATGTCCCCAGTCACATCCCAGCTGGCTGGTCTCCACAGGTACTGAGTTTCTCAGGACCCCAGTGGGGGGAGTGGGGAGAGTGGAAGAGTTTCTGTCTCCCTAGAAAGAGATCCTTGGATCTCCTTCCTCTTTGATTCTGTGGCGAGCATCCCCATCCTTCAACAGCGCTCTAGTTGTGCCTCCTGGGAGCCCCCACCCCACCCCAGACTACCCAGTCTCCCACCTGTCAGTCGGCACCTGCTCAGCTTAGCGCAGTCATTTCCAGCCCTGGATCCTGCCTCTTCAACCAAGGTGTGCACATGGAAACTGTGGCTCTCCCCGCTGAGCAGATGTTTGGGAAATGGTTTAAGGACAATTGGGGACAGAGGTCACTCACTTTGTACAGGATGATCTCCTGCTGCCGCTGAGCTGTCTGGTAGACGTATGGGCTTAGGGCCCTGGCTCCCTGCTGTGGTCCCTGCTGCCAGCTCCCTGGCCCACCTAGTTCCTATCCCCGCCCTGAAGGTCCTCATGGCACAAGGGGGCTTGGAAACCCATGGCCACCTATCTCCTTCTCCTCCTCCAGCAGGCCATTCCTTAGAGACCACAGCTGTCTGCAAGCTAGGAAACATCATCCCTCCTGGCACAGTGAGAGGCTCCCCAGCTCACTGCCCCCACCCTGTTCTAGTACTTTCTGATAGATGAAGTGTGAGTGGAAAGGCTCCTTCCAGTCCTGGCTCATAAAGCAGCCTGTGGTGGTCTCTCTTTGCATGGAATAGGAATCCAGCAGAGGTTTGGGGAGATGGGAAAAGCAGATCTGGATCAGTTCCTGCTGGAGAGAGGGGAGTCTACAGCTCCCTGCTCTCACTAGATGATGGCCAGAGAGGCTGAGAACACACAGTCAAGAGGACTTAGCTCACCTGAGCTGGGACAGGCAACTTTCTGAAGCTGAGAAAGAGCTTCAGTGCATCAGAAGACCATTTATCAAAACACTTATTTGAAATACCACTCTGGCTCAGCAGCCAGGCAAATGTGTAGAGAAGTGTAGTCTGCGATGAGCTGAGACCAGTCATTCAGAGGGTGGGCAGGGCATGGGACAGCTCTGACCATCAGAAGGGCCAGAGAAGAGGACCAGGGGCCTAGACACCAGAGTCTCGAATGGAACCTATTCTTCCTGTAGGCAGCTCCCTTGCCTGGTCGGCTCAGGAGTAGCTTTTCAGCATCACCTTGGTGATGATGGGGTGGGGAAAGAGACATGCTATATATAGAGGAGGTGAGGGGAAGCTGTCCCATGTAAGGCCTACCCTAAAATTTAGGGCACTGTCTCTACCTCTAGTTCTGTAGAGCACCGAGGAGAATGCCCTTCAGGCTTTCCTGCTACTAGGGGACTCCCAGCTCCCATGGCTTATTCCCACTAGCCTCTCTCCCGTTTTACCCTACTTCCTTCCTCACCTCTTACCCTCCAGTCCAGTGTACACCTCCCCCCAGCTGAAGTACCTGGTTCCTCTCTTTCATTCTACTTATTCCTTGATGCCCCTTTCTGGAAGGTATGGAGTGAGTATGTGTTTACTGTAGCCCTAACACTTACCATAGGTCTTGGTCATAGTTGGGGTTCAGCAAATGTTTGCTAAATGAATGAATACGTGGATAAATGAATGAGCCATAAGGAAATGAGGTCTTCCACAGAGCAGAATCTATTGTTGATACCAGGTCGGTTCTGTACTTCTAGACCATCAATCTCAAAATCCTGCAACTTCTGAGCCAACAGGCTATGTTAAGAGGCCAGCTAGGGAAACTGAGGCCCAGACATGTTGCAGGGACTTGTGCAGAATCACATCCCAAGGCCCTCTTCCACTGGGCATCTTTCTTCCTCTTTGACCTGCCCAAGAGGGGTTGGGCTTCCAGGGTGGCAGGTGGGTGAGTCTAGAGGGAAGCCCACAGCGTGTAGAGCAAGACTGGTGAGTCTGTTTTACTCCCAGGGAGGCTGAGGCCTCCGAAGGCTGAGAAGGAACCCAATGAACTAGCTGCTGAACTCTGAGCACATGTTGGTGTCTAGACCCCCCAGGCAAGGACAAGACCCCTCACCCCCTGCTCAGAGCCCAAATAGCATCCCCGCGGGACAGATGGGGCGACTGTCTGTAGCAACAGTGAGGTGATGTCTGGTTTCTCCGTGTGTGCGTTGTAAGCAGTGATTAATCTGGCTCCCAAACCAAAATAGAGACCTCGTGCTATTATAAACACAGGTCCTGTAGAGACCCGCCTGCCAGCAGCCGGCGGCCCCTTGCAGACACTGTGGTCCCTGGAGTTTCTGGGTAGCTCTCTCCTCCCTACATCCCCCAGCCCCAGGGCCTGTTGGGCACCGCTTACAACAGGAAATCACTGCCCACAGGTCCACCTTTCCATTCATGCCCGCCCCATAATTGTTGAGTCCAGAAAAGATAATGGTTTCATCCTAAGCCCTGTCATTTGAAGCTATTTGCTGGCCTCCGCTTAGTAAACATTGCCGAGGTGGTTCCAGGCCCCCTCCCCTCCCCCACCTCACAGTCTGTGCTGCTCCCTGTCAGCCCCAGAGAGCAGTGCTCTGGGAAGCAGTGCTCATAGCCCTTCAGGGCTCTTGAGTCCTGGGGAACAGTCTAGGCTTGGCCATCACTTTCTAAGAAACTTTGCACCAGTCCTATCATCACTTTTGAGCCGCATTTTCTCTCTGTTCAGTGATCACTCCGAAGGTTGTTGAAATGATGCCTCAGGTCCCCCGCCCCAGCTCAGATGCTCCTGAGTTCTTTGGCTGACCTCTGCCCCAAGAGCATCTGTCTCAGGAGATTCATCTCCTGGCTGGGGCAGGATGGGGGTGGGGTGGGGTGGAGGTTCTTGGGTGGTCCTTCCTGGCAGTCCTTAGCCTCAGTGATTTGTGGTCAAGGTCAAAACTCTGGTGCTGCCCCCAGACAGCTTGTTCTGGAGAGTCTCTCTCTCTCTCTCTCTCTCTCTCTCTCTCTCTCTTTCTCTCTCTCCCCCTCCCTCTCTCTCACCCATTTCTTCAACTGGCAAGTGTGCATGGTAGTTTCTGTTCCTGGGTGCAGAATCAGCCAGCTGATGCATTTGAGACGCTTGTGCAAAGCTTGTCTGAGGGCTGGCCATGATGCATTCTCTGATGCAGGTGATTTTGGTGCATTTGTTTGTCTTTGTTTTGTTTTGAGGGCCAAAGGCTCCTGGATGCCCCCTTCATGGTTCTCTTAAGGTTCCTCTCCTCCCCCAGAAGGCTCTTTGTAGCTGCCCTTGAGGAGGCAGAGGAGGGCAGAATGAGATCAGAGAGGGGGCTTGCTCATACTGAGTCCCACAGCACTTGGTGGAAGGCTCAGCTTGCTGCTGCTCAAGCTCTGGTTGGCTGCTGTCTGAATGCTGGGTCTTGACCATCCTTGCTCATGCTGCGGCTCACACAAGCCTCCCTGTGCTTCCCTGAGCCCTCAGAGAACACCCAGGGCCTTTGCACTTGTTCACTCTGACTGGACTGTTTGTTGAAGGAATAATCCAATGAAAATGGAAGATCTTGGCAGTCATAGCAGCTCGCTTTTTCAGGGCCCTTGAACTCAATGTTAGATATTATGTTGAGTGTTTAAACGCACGTACTGGCCCGTATCTCCCCATTTTACAGTCGAGGGAAACCAGGCTCAGGACTGTAGAGTCAGTGTCTCACAGCTAGCCAGTTATATAGAGCAGTGTTAGAGTCCAGTCTGATGCACATTGCCAGCCATGGTTTGTAGCCCAATGTGTCTGCTGGAAACAGAGCCTGGGCCCCAGGTGGAGGCATCTTGCCCAGCTGTACAGCTAAGCTGTCTTGATGCGGTGTGAGTGGGTTCAGATGCTTCACTGGTAAACCCCTTGGGCCTCTCAGATCAGACAAGCCCTGGTATTTATAAATAAGAGGACTGCATCCTGGGAGTCTGAGGAGTGCTGTGTGAGTGTGTGTGTGTGTGTGTGTGTGTGTGTGTGTGTGTGTGTGTGTGTGTGTGCGTGCACACGCTCGCCTGGCGTATCTTGTCTGTGTTGTCTGTGTTTTAGACTCTAGGGGAGTCAGAACTCTGAGTTTCAAAGCATCAGAGCCAGCAGAGACTCAGAGTTCAGCCACCCCATCTGGGGGCCTGAGAAGGGAAGTGACCCATCCAAAGTCACACAGTAAGGCAGGAGCTAGGGGAAGTCTCTTCTCAGGAACGGGCTGTGGTCCTGCAGCAGGAGCGAGACTGTGGTCTTGGGTATTCTAATAGAGGTGGTCATGTGTGTGAAACAGCAGAGCTGACAGGCGAGAGCAGCCCACCTCACATGGTGGTCTACCCATCCATCCGTCCACAGATCTGTCTGTCACCACTTCTTCTGTGACATGAAATGTGCAAGGTGTATTAGCTGCTGAGAGCAGACATGACTGTGGGGGCTCTGCCACCCCTGGCAGTGTCAGCATAGTGTCCACAAGGGGACGGTTTACTGAGTGTTTACAGCCTACAACCCCGAGTGGACTGGCAGTGTCCAGCCAGGGCTGCAGAGGCTGGACCCTGTCATCCACGGGTGGAGTGGGCCCTCTGATCTAATGTACCTCTTCACCCCTCCCCACAGGGACACAAGGGCTATCCTGGACCCGCGGGACACCCTGGAGAAGAGGTAAGGCCTCTGACCTGTTCTGTATCGCTCACTCTCTCTCCTCCCTGGAGAGCCGGGGACTGCTCGGGACCCCCACATCCCTAGAGCCTGGCTGTCCTGTTATCTACCTTGCTGGAGCCCATGTACCCCCCACCCCCCAAAAGCTCCAGCCATATGGGCCTGGAAGAACCAGAGTCCCTGAGGAGGCCTGGCCTGGGGCTGGCATGAGCTGAGTTGCTTGGCTCCACTTAGAGCCATGAATAGGCCGCCTGTCCCAGGCAGTGTGAGGGGATATTATCCCCGCCACCCGCCTGCCTTGGGATTTGCAGGAATTTGGGCTGCCCTGGCCCAAGTCAAACAGTAGTCCTGCCAGCGGGGAGCTAGCCAGCCCCCCCCTCCGTGCTTTCTTACAGAGGGCTTTCTTACAGAAGGCTTTTTTTTTTGGTGCTGGTTCTGGGGCTTGAACTCAGGGCCTAGGCGCTGTCCCTGAGCTTTTCTGTCAAGCGAGTACTCTACCACTTGAGCCACAGCTCTACTCCTGACATTTTGGTGGTTAATTGAAAATAAGAATCTCAAGGACTTATCTGCCCAGGTAGGCTTCGAACTGCATGAAATCCTCAGACCTGAGCCTGCTGAGTAGCTAGGAGTATAGGTATGAGCTACCAGTGCCCGGCGCACAGAATGTTTCTTTCAGAGTGAGGTTGGCCAGTTTAGAGAGGTGTGGGCATGGCCCCAGCAGGCCTTGCCTTTCATTCCTGTCCTTTCCTGGTCTTTTGTCACCTGAGCTGGGCAGAGTCTCTCATTGCCTTACATTCTTTTCTGTTCTTTGCAGGGGCAGCTGGGAGCTGAGGGCAGCCCAGGGGCCAAAGGTTACCCTGGCAGGCAGGTGCAGTATATGGCTTCTGGAAGCTCTGTGACCGTGGTGGAGATGCCACAGGTGCCCCCAGGCAGTGGGGGGCTATGGGCTGAGGCTGAGGAGCTGTGCCCTAAGGAAAAGCTGTCCAGGGGCCTGGATCAAGCCAGCTCTTCTCAGCAGGCATCAGGGCTGGGACACTCAGTAAGGAATTGGGGGTAGGATGGGGCTCCTGAGGCTCCTCCCACCCAGGGTCCCCCTGAGCCACACTGGGTAGTTTGGGGCACTTGGGTAGAAGACTCCTGTTCTCCCCCACCCTGTTCTCCAGAAAGGCAGCTGAGGCCAGGAGATGGGACTCTCCCAGACTTGCTGGGGATGTTGGTGGCTAGAAGGGCATCTCCATATGTCCTTCCCCCTCTGTCTTTTCTATTTCAGGGGCTACCCGGACCTGTAGGAGAGCCTGGCCCCAAAGGCAGCCGGGTAAGTGGTCCTTCTACAGTGCCACCTACGTGGGGCCTGAGTGGGCATCCCTTGTCTTTCCACCAGGCTTGATGGGCAGTCAGGGCCATGAGGGGGTACTAGGTCCAGTCCTGCCCATCTGGGTTTTTAACTGGAGATTGGGGCAGCAAGGCACTAGTAATGAAGACCCCTGGTCTAGGAGCTGCTGGGTCTGAGGATCAAGCAGTCTGGGCAGTCCAGGCTCTGCTGGGGTAGGTTGTGACCCAGCTGCAAACATCAGGCATTTGCCTGCTGAGTCCTCTTTCATTCCAAATGACCAGGAGTCAAGGTCTGAATACTTACTGAAGCCTGTCACTAGGCCATTCATCCTAGCTGGGGGTTGGGAAACCACCTTTGATGGAAGGCCGTGGTGCTCTGTGGGCGATGCTGCCAAGGCTGGAGGCTGATGGAATTTCCAATAGCCTCTTCTGAAGCCCTCAGGGAGCAAGCTCTGAGTGGTTACCTGTCTTTCCATCAGCCTCGGGTTAGCTGCCTTTACAATGACAGTGTGCTGTCTATTCCTACCAGTGGGCTGGAGGTGGGGGGGTACTAGGAATTCACTTTGGTGAGGGCTGCCCTATGGGACTCCAGTAAGGACTATGGGGATTTGGAGAAGGTTCTCGGTGAATTGGATTGGATGGATAGAGCTGGTAAGATCAGGCGAGATGGAACTTGAGTGCCTCTGGTGTCGCTGTGAGCTAGACAGCCTCAGCTCATGCTGCACACTGGAGGTACAGGTAGGGCTGGAGGGAGGGCCACAGTTGGTAACACTGGCTGCCAGGTAATGTGATGGGGCTTCTGTCCTGGGGATACTGGGCCCCTCCTCTTGATCCAGCTGCTCTTAGGACCTATGGTCTTGTAGGGTCCTTCTGAGCCCTGGGACAGCCAGGCATCAATGGCTCACGCCTGTAATCCTAGCTACTCAGGAGGCTGAGATCTGAAGATCGAGGTTCAAAGCCAAGCCCAGGCAGGAATGTCTGTGAGACTCTGATCTCCAATTAACCACCAGAAAACCAGAAATGGCATTGTGGCTCAAGTGATAGAGCACTCGCTTGAAGTTGAAATGCTCAGGGACAGTGCCCAGGCCCAGAGTTCAAGCCGCACGACTGATCAAAAACAAAACAAAACAAAACAAAAACTGAGCCCTGAGAGAAATCTCAAGCTAGTCCCTAGTCCCCATCTGGGAGAACAGGACCTGCTGATGACACCTGGAGGTGTTAGCCATGCATTTGGCATCTTGAAGGCCACCTTGGCCCCGGCCCTCCTGTCTCCTCAGTCACAGGGCTCAGGACTACTTAAGCTGCTCTGCCACCCATCAGCCTCGTTGTTATGAAGTAGGAAAAGCCCAGCAAGGGTTTGGAGCCTGGGTGCCCAGCCTTGAGACCTGCTGAGCCACTTCTTGGCTCTGAGTTCCTGGAATCACTGGGTCACTTTCTCATCTGTGACTCTAGGATATAAGCCCTCCTTGAAAAGTTTGCTGAATGTCTCTCTTTGAGATGAGTGTTGGGAGGGAGGGAGATGAAGGGATCTTTTGGATGTGCAGGTGATGATAGGCCATTCTTGGCTACTCATTTGTGGAAGGTTGTATAGCTGAACGGTTAGAAGCTCAAGCCCTGGAGCCCCATGAGTTCATTCAAATGTTAGTTCTACCACATTCCAGCTGTGTGGCCCTAAGCAGGTCACCTCACATCTCGGGGCCTACATGTTCTCGCTTCAATCATGCTAATAATAATGCTTGTTCCTTGGAGGTGTGGAGAGGATGCAGTAAATGCTTTAATGTACACAGAGCTCTTTGAGCTAGGCCTGCCACCTAGCTTGTTAAACATTAGCTCGTGTTAGAGTTACCAGTACCTCACTGCACAAACATTTCAAGAGAGTGCAGAGTGGTAGGAGTCCTGGCCTAGGTCCTGGCCCTCAAGGCATTCTCAAGCTAATGAGAAGAAGATACAAGGACACAGACGATGGAGAAACTAGGGGAGACAGTCAGCTGCTGTTAACTGGGTGCAAACAGGGCATGGGGTGGAGGGCCCAGGGTTTCTGGCTCAAGGTTCAGGAGTGAGCCTTGGAGGTAGGCTTCGCAGGATTTGTCTCTGCAGTCCTGGGAAGGACATGGCTGACGAGGTACAGGAACACCAGGTGCATTCTGGGCCTGAGCTTCACACACCCTGGCTCTTGTGTTGCTGGGCCAGGGTGGCCCTTGTGCTACTTAGGGGCTTGCTAAGGGGTCTCCCGGCTGTACCCATGACCAGCTGTTGCATTCTCTCTAGAGCCTCTGTCCTTGTGTGTCCAGTGGGAAGGGAGGAGGTAACAGCTGGTCTGGGAGGTCCCTGAACGTTTAATGCAGCCGTGACCATGTGGCCGGCACACTGCTTGCTCTCCACCGGGCAGCTGTTCTTGACAGTACGTGGTGGGTTTTAACTTTCTGGGCCCAGGAGGAGCCCACTGCAGAGGGCTTCGTCCCCAGCAGCATCCCAAGGGCGGGGGAATGCTCTAGCATGTAACCCAGGGCTAGGCTGGCTTCCTTCTGCAGGTTCCAGAGCCCGGCTCAGCTGGGGCGGGCCTCCCCCGCAGCACCTGTGCCCTTCCCTGGTGTGAGGGTATGTGCCTTTGGACTACATCGTGGAAGCCAGCACCATGCAGTCCATGGGCATATACACTTGCCTCAAGGCCTTTGTCATCGAGGACCACCGGAGCCACCACTGCCGCCAGCAAGGAGGAGGACTGGGCAGCAGGATGGCATGGAGGGTGGGCTGGGACAGAGGGACAGCTGCATCTCTCTGCTCGGGCTCTGACCACCTCCTGCTCTTTCCTAGGGCTACATCGGACTGCCAGGGCTCTTCGGCCTGCCTGGGTCTGATGGAGAACGGGTAAGTTTGTGCTATCGGTTATGTGCCCATCTCCCACTCCCTCCTGATGCAAAGCAGAATGGGCCAAGGGCAGGCTGGGAGGAGTCACAGCGACCTCCTGGAGGTGATTACCCTTGAGGAGCATTGGAGGCTGGGAAGGGGGTAGGTCACAGTGCTCACCCACCAGGCAGAGGGAGCTGTGTGTGTAAAGTCAGGATGGAAGGTCCCTCGGCAATCCCGACCATCAGTTCCGTCAGAGCACTGAGTGGTGAGGGTGTGGGTTATGGGGAGCACTTCCCATGAAGTTTCAGGGAACCAACGTCAGCAAAGGGACTCAGTTCTGGGGAACCTCTCTAGAAATTTCAGCAAATGAGAAACAGGCCCCTTTAGATCCTGCCACAGAGCTCTGCAAATGAGGGCGAGCCGTCTGTTTTTGTAAATGAAGTTTTATTGAGCACAGCCGTGCTTGTTTGGTTACTATGGCCCATGGTTGCTGTCCGGCCAAGTGGCACAGAATTCACAGTCACCCTGTCTCTTGGCACAGATGCCCCTTGTCCCCATCCTAGGTGGTTCAGCTCACTTGAGTAAATTAAGGCTAGAAGAGGCTGGAGGCAGACCTGGTGGCAGTGTCACCAGGTGGGATGGGGTGCTCTAGGTGAGGGCAAAGGCAAGAGACTGACCTGAGTGCCTGGCTCTCGCTTGCCCTGAAGGTACATCAAGAGACAGGATGAAGCTGGGCATTGGGTGCTCATACCTGTAATCCTAGCTACTCAGGAGGCTGAGGTCTGATGATCATTGTTTGAAGCCAGCCTAGGCAGGGCAGGAAAGTCCCCAAGACTCTTACCTCCAATAAACTACTCAGAAAAAACTGGAAGTGGCTCTGTGGCTCAAGTGGAAGAGTGCTAGCCATGAACCAAAGAAGCTCAGAGACAGTGCCCAGGTCCCTGAGTTCAAGCCCTGGCACAACTGGCACAAAACAAACAAGCAAGCAAGCAAACAAATAAATAAATAAATGAGACAGGATGGGCCCTGAAGAAGATGGTGGTTGACTTGCGGGTGGGTGGAGTGCTTCGATTCCCAGCATTTGTATCTTCCCAGCCCAGTGTCAGTCAAGGGAGTCAAGCGACCAGGATATTTGCTGCCCACAGGCTCCTGGTCCAGCCTTCTACCCATGAGGAGTTCCTGGGGCCTATGGTCTTCCTGCCCCTTCCTAGCCTTAGCTGGGGCTAAGTAGGAGCATCTTGGAGCAGGAAAAAGAGCACCTAGTAAGCACCTGGTGAATGCCAGGAGCACTGAGTGTTTTCCCGTTGTAGGTCCACAAAGCCCTAGCCTCAAAGAGTCTGAGGACTGTTGACTTACTGTGTCTGTCACTGCTATTACTGTGTACGTGGTATAGTTCACTGTGTACATGGAAGTCTGGGACTTCCTCTCAGGGGTGGCTAGGGGCTGTACTCTGTCGAGGCCCTGTCCTGACCTCTCCTTGTCTTTCCCTCTTCAGGGTGTACCTGGCGTTCCTGGCAAGAGGGGCAAGATGGGTAGGCCGGTAAAGATTTTCCGTGTCTATTATATTACACAGACTCTACGGGGACCCCCTCCCTCCCCGCTCCTCCCACCGGCCGCACTGTCCTCTCCACTGAGGCAGGGATTGTCCCTGTTCTGCTCAGCCACCGTTCTGAGTGTTGGAGGCAGGAGTCCTAGGCCTGTGGGCTGAGCTGCTGCTGCTGCTGCTGCTGGAGACTTGGCTACTCTGTGAGGGCCCCATGTCTCTCACTGTCCATTCTTACTCACGCACATACAAGGTGGAAGATGAGGGTATGGAAGATCCAAGATTCCTTCGGTCATCTGGCTTTGTTTATGCTTTTCTGTTGCGGTAGAAGATGGTTTCTCCTCTAGTTTGATCATCTGCATGCATAAAGAAAAAACCAAGCACTGAGAGGTTAAGTCACTTTCTCAAGGCTTCACAGCAAGTGAACAATGGGGCAAGGATCTAGTTCAATGGATTTGTCCCCAGGGTCTCCTGTTTCAGTGACTGTGTGGGCTGCCACTCAGCATCTCTGTTTGGTGCTGATGTTATAAAAGTAGGTTTCCCACAGTTTTCCCCTGCCAGGAAAGTCACTTATTCTAGTCATCTCATTAACTGAAGTTTCAGAGGTGGAGGGAGATGTTGAGGTCCCTCTGCTGGATGGGCAGACTCAGGACAGTGGTAGCTTGGTCTCTCACCACTCAGACCTGTGGTCAGTCAGCTGCTGTGGGAGGTGGAGGAAGGGATAGTGGGAGAATTGGAACTACAGGGGCACCTGTGGCCTTAGGTTGGTGGCCTGTTCTTCTCTGTGCAGCAGTTGAGCTAGGCTCTCTAGGGGCCATAAAAAGGATCCAACTCCTGGCTTCAAGGAGCTGATAGAGTGGTCCCCAGCATGCCTGTGGCTGACATCTACTAAGGGCTCTAAAGTTCAATACCTGCCTCCCAGGTGTGGGAAGGAGTAACAGGGGAGCTGCTACAGTTCTGTATGAAAGTGACCAGCAGGCCTGGATCCCATCTTTGGGCCCCAAACCCTGCTCTAGGGGTCATGCCACCTCTCTGCTGCCAATCAATAAGAAGAAGGAAAAGGAGAAGGAAGAGGAAGAAAAGGAGGAGGGATGGGAAGCCAAAGTCCTGGGAGCATGCACACACACCTCAGGGTCTCTGCCTCCAGTAGAGACTCTGCGTGGTTGGTTTGGATTTGGTGTACTCGCTGGATTTCTCTAGTAGTTTCAGAAACCCAAACCACAGATCTTTTCTGTCTGGACAGCTCACTTTTCCCTTGGTCAGAGAAACATGTGCTATCTTTTTTTAATTACATTTCCCTAGAAACCCCATGATTCCAATTTGTGGAAGGAGAGACCAGGTTTCTCCATACTCCAGGCTGAGGGCTGCTCCTTCTCTTTGAAGTAGGAATAAACCCTTCCCTCCCTCCACTGCTGGCCCCCCAGGCTCCCTCCCAGCTGCTTACTCCCCAGAGAGTAGGAAATGGCCTCAGGGAAGGGCAGCTGGCCCTGGTGACCTAGCATCTTCCAGCTCCCAAAGGGGTAACCGTCTCCAGTGCTGAGGTTCACTAAGTATGACCTTGTATGACCTTGCCATTCACCTTTTCCCAGCTTCATTCTTTCTGAAAAATAAGGATCATGATTCTACCATGGGGCTTCTGAAGGGCACATCACAATCACACATGTGAAGCCTTCTCCTTAGAAATGGTAAACTGAGGCCTGGGGCCGGAGATAGGGAAGAATACACTGAAAACCTCAGCCTACTCAGTGATTGGTCCAGTTTTGGACCCAACTTCCTATGACCCTCCCACCCCACTGGGGTCAAGTTCTGGATTGAGAGCTACTGTGGGGCCTACTCTTTCTATACAGGGTGGCCTTGGCCTGGGGAGTTGTATGTGTGTGGTTTATATATGTCAGTGGTAGGGGAAACCTCAAATCCGAGGATTATGGTTTCTCAGACATCACCCTTGTGGCCCTGGGTTCGAGCCACCCTCAAGCTGTAAGCCCTAACCTATTCCTGTTTCTCTCTCATGTCCTCAGGGCTTCCCTGGAGACTTTGGGGAGAGAGGCCCCCCAGGGCTGGATGGAAATCCTGTAAGTATTTCCTAGTGTCTAGGAAAGCAAATCAGAGTGAACACAGCAGAATTCAGGAGCTCCAGCCCTGAGGGCCTGGGGCCTACTAGCTGGGTGCACATGGACAAATGACATGACCTCTGAACCTGGGCTCCTGTCTATGGCTGGTGCCCTGTGACCTACCACCTCTATCTCCCAGCCAGAGCTCCAAGCTGGTCCTACAGCTCACCTACAGGGCTCACTCCCCACTGGCTGCTGCCTTCTTACAAAGCATCAGAAATGTTTACGGCCTGGAGAGAAAACAGGTTTGCAGGCCCTGTTCAGAAAGAAGCCCTGAGTTCCCAAGGCATCTTCACTACTGTGTATTTATAGTTTGTAAACAGTCGGAGGCCCATACTCTGCCTTGCCATAGAGTCAGGTCAGCCCGCCCCAGCAGCTCAGCTTGCTCTTCTCTTTCTGTCCAGGTTTCAGGCCCTGGCAGGATGAGTTCCTTTTCAGCTTAAGGGCACAGACTCTGCCTAGAGCTTTGGGATACCTGCCATGGAGGCCCATGTCTTTCTGATGTTTCCTAGCCACAGCAGCTGGGGCCGGCAGTGTCCATGGTCAGCACCTGACTGTGTGTTGGTTTAATTCTATAAACATTGCCTGAACTTGTGGTTTGGAACAGGAGAGATCCGTTTGAAAAGGTCCTGCCAGATGTACACGAGGAGGTAACCTCTCTGATTTCTTTCATTGCAGGGAGACCTGGGCCTTCCAGGACCCCCAGGAGTCACTGGCCTTATTGTAAGTATAGATACCTAGCAGCTGGGGACAGGGGGGATGTGAGGGGGGTGTTGGACAGGGTGGGAGAATCACATGGAGCCAAAATCTGAGGAGCAAACAACAGTGGGGAAGGTTGCTAAAAAGACTCCTCTGTCACCAAACCCAAAAGGGGCAGGATTGGACTGAGAGATGAGGCCCTACTGTGTGGCCCCCGGTGGTCCCAGGTAGTCTCCTCTGCTCTGAGCTGGCTTCCTGGTTGGTTAGCTGAGGTCAAGCATGCCACCAGGATTGTGTGTACTTGCATGCCTGCTGCTGGCCCATTGACTTACCAGGAGGCCTAGACAAGTGATGGTATGTCCAGTCAATTGATGAGGGCTTCAGGTCCCAAGGGAGGAAGTGGCACCAGAGGAGCTGAGACTCTGGCCAGTGTTGAGAACTCAGCTTTGTTCTTTTTCTTGAAAATACCGATTTTTGAGCCAGACTACCTAGGTTGATGTCATCACTCTGCCACATCATGGCTGTATATAACTGAGCTATGTTATTTACTCCTTGAGCCCTAGTTTCCTCATCTATAAAGTGGAGTTAAAAGTAGAATCTTCTTAGATTCTTGCTTGTTCCAATTAATAGGTACTGCATAAGCAAATGATTGGCATAGGACTTGGCATTCACTAAGCTCTCACCAAATGGAAAATATTATCCTGAAATGCTCAGGGCCCAGAGAGGCCTATGGATAGGAAATGGGAGGGATAGAGCCTCTAACTCCATCCAAATTGGGTGGGTCTCAGGGATGGTTCTATCAGCAGCACCACAGCTTACTGTCAGGCCTAGAGGCAAGATTTGATCTTGGGCCTAGTCCCAAAGGCCAAAGACAGTCCAGAGCCTAAAAATAACTCTAGGAGAATGGCCCCACAAAGGCAGAGACCCTCTGCTCTAAACTGTGGGTCATTCCTCATGGATTTGAGTCTGGAGGCCATGGAGGGGACACAAGTCTGTCCTCTAGATTGACAAATGGGCCAGCTTTGTTCCTTCAGCAACTGTATCAAGGAGATTTGTCCAGATAGAGTCTGAGGTGCCCTATTTCTCAGGAAAGGCTAATCCTCAGAAGTGGGTCAGAGCCCACTATTAGCCCACTACTAGCCACCTGCTCCTGCTCAGGAATGAGGTGGGTTGGTGGGGTAGACTCAACCTGGGCCCCATCTTGTTACTACCTCCTGGCTCTGTCAAGCTCAGTTATTGCCTCAGCTCCTTGAGCCTCATAGGCCTTGCTGGGAAGTGGGATCAATAAATAGCACCCACTTGTGCTAGGACCTCAGATGCCACAGCCCAGCCAAGTCCAGCGGCTAAAAGAAGTCCAGTGGCTTGAACCAGATTACCTGAGCTCAGACCCTAGCTCTTCTACTCACCTAATCACAACCATGAGCAAACTTCTTAATCTCTGTGTACCTCAGTTTCTTCATCTGTAAAAAGGGGGATAATATGAGTACTTAACTGGAGGATTGTCATAAGGATTTAAATGAGCTAATATACAGAAATCACCCACTGTGAGTAAGCACTCAAGAAGTTTGTTATAATAATAGCTAGTGTTGTTCTTGTTCTGTGACACACACATGTGCATGCACATATACCATAGTTTTGCAATGTCTTTGGCAATTGATGAGTGATGCCTGCCTTCGCTGAGGATGGGAAATTGTTACTACACTTACATATTATACATTCGTTGTCTTTCATAGGCCTTTGCCAAGCCCCTTCTTCTGCACAAGGTGCTGACCTAGATGTTTTGGAAAAAGCAATGTGTGCCATGGGAGTTAGAGAAATTCTGGGAAGTCTTGTTGCCCAATTCTCTCTAAGCTCAGCAGGAATCCCTTGTGGAGATTATGTTCCTATGGTCATTAAGCTCCAACTCCAACACCTCAGGTGTTAGAAACTCCCTCTTTCTAGGGACCCAGTCTCTCTGAACAGAGCCCTCATTGTTCAGTGTTTTCTGAATCGTCCTTGCTGTCCCCTGGTGAAGCTGTCCAGGAGTAAGATGGACAGGGCTTATTCTTCCCCAGACTCTTTCAGGCTAAATAATCCTGGCCTCCATCTGGAGGGATGTTTACACGTCCTGGCTGTCATCTTTGGCACGTGTTACTATCTGTCATTGCCTCAGCGTCCACTAGGTTGTGTCCCAATATGGGTACGATTATTGCCTGGATTTGCCATGCCCAGGCTGTACCATCCTTGCCTTGGTCCTCCTGATTCTTACAGTTTATCCATACAGTTGCCAGATAAAATAGAATTCACCCAGTTACATGTGAATGTCACATGCACATGCAGGTCACATTTATATTGAAATATCATCCATTGTTTATCAGACATTCAGATTTAACTGGGCATCATCATTTTATGTGTTGGATCCTCTCCCATTGGGACTATTCCCATTGTCTCTTAGAGTCTCATTTAGCTCAGGGGAAAACTGAGGCCCTTGATCAAGGTCACATGGAAGACAGGAGAGGATGGAGAACTGATTAGAAGACATGACTCTCAATTCCTTGGACAGGGCCTCTTTCTAAGGAATGAGCTGCAGCCAGAGTTCTGGGCACTTACTCATTTCTCAGATTCTGCGACATGATACAGCTAACCAGCGAGCCCATCTCCACTGCTCTGTGGCCTTTGTGGCCATGTGTCTTGCCACCACTGATGGTGGCCAGAGATTTAGTTTGCCTTCACCTTCAAAGGGAAGAATTTTTTGTCCTTGTGCCTGGGGGTGGGGGGGGGAGGGAGGGTTCCACAGGGCTGGACCTCAGCTATACCCTCCCCCACCCTACTTTACCACTGAAAACTAAGCCAGTGTCCCTTTTTATGCTCAAGTTTGGGGAACAGTAGCTTTGTGCCTGGGGAAACTTGGTCTCCTCCAAGAGCTGGACAGGAACTCTCTGCCAAGGAGTTAAAGTGAAAAGGGACTGTGAGTCACCTATGGCTTCCAGAGGATGTGGGTTTTCAGCTGAGCAAACAGAATTCCATGCGTTGATAATCATTTTGTGAAATTCAGGTTTATTCCATGCCTGTCTAGTCAGCACAGGCCATTTGCATGCAGACTGCAGCCAGCCTTCCTGTCCCCTGAGTCCCTGCAGCAGGAGGGAGGGTGAGAGAGGATAAGCTAACATTTATTGAGCCTCTGCCTGCTCTGGGGGGTGCTGGATATGCATTGGACTTTAGGAACTATGAGATGCCCACCAGCTAGCAAGTAGAAGTGTGGGGCTTGGGCTGAATGTCCCCGGGCCTGGTAAGCTGCCAGTGGCTTCCGGTAGAATCTTAGGTGACAGAACCTGGAAACAGCTGCTTGGAGTAATCAAAACCTCCTGGCTGGCCTACAGGAAAGCTGCCAGACTCTAGCATCTGCTCAACAAAGACACTATCTGTCTTTTTTTGTTCAATGGCATTAAGAGCATTTTTGGCTTCTTCCCTCCTACTCCCTCCTTTTTCTTCCTCCTCCTCCTCCTCCTCCTCCTCCTCCTCCTCCTCCTCCTCCTCCTCCTCCTCCTCCTTCTTTTTTGTGGTAATAGGGCTTGAACTCAGGGCCTGGGTACTGTCCCTGAGCCTCTTTGTGCTCAAGGCTAGCACTCTATCACTTGAGCCACAGCACCACTTCTAGCTTTTGTTCTGAGTAGTTTATTGGAGATAAGAGTCTCACAGACTTTTCTGCCTGGGCTGGCTTCAAACTGCGATTCTCAGATCTCAGCCTCCTGAGTAACTAGGATTACAGGCATGAGACACTGGCACCTGGCTGGCTTCTTTTTAATGAGACTCAAAGAACATATGATCCAGCCAAACCCCCAGCATGTGGCACAGTGGACAAGTCCATATATTCTGTCTCTAAAGGGTTGTTTCTTTGTAAAGCAAGATCAGGGAGCCAATCAGTTTACATTTCCCAAAGCCTCTTGTACCTGACCCCCTTCTCAAGGTTGAATTGTCACAATAGCCTTGGGAAAGTACGAATGGTATCCTCACCAAGACTCAGAGATGGCAAAGCACTTTCCTGAGGCCGTACAGCCTGTGTGCACAGTACAGGTTCTTCCTCCCTTCCCCACACTGTTGCTATTAGACCTCGGTGCTGAATGGAGACACTGGAGGTGTGGGAATATGGGTTGGGTGGTACCAGGCTGTGCTGATGTGAGAGAAGATGCCCAGTGAGGTCAATACCCCGGTCCCCTCCTGCCAATCCCGCATTGCTCTCTGGAAAGAGGTAGAGGTGCTATTTTCTGCAGAGAAGGTTGCTAGGGGGTGTGGTAGTGAGACTTGGCTCCTTCTTGGCACTCATTAAGCACTTCTGTCCAGCCCTGGGCTGGATGCTGGAGTCACACAGGTAAGGTCTCCAGGCCCAGTGCCTGTCCATAGTCGTGAGAGGTGGTGTTGAGTGGAAGGATGACTGTGAGTGGCTGTGGTGCCCAAGGCCTTGGGAGGATGGGGCACTGAGCTCAGGACAGGGATGTCCACCCAAGGTATGAAGGCAAATGGGCTTTGGCACAGATTGCAGGCTGAACATGGTCCAGCAGGTATGTCACAGGAAAACAGGAAGCTCAATCAGGAGAAAGACATGTGGGGGGAGAGTCTTGTAGCCATGTTTGCCTTGGAGTCTGGGAAGAGCCCCCAGGCCTCCCTTCAGGGGTCCTGAAAACCCCCTGCCTAGACCCCTGAGGGACAGCAGTGAGGGAAATTGGCACTGAGTCCTTGGATGGTCAGCAGCCAAAGCAGGGCTTGTGAGTGTGGATTCACACGGGGACAGCTAGACAGAAGTTTGGTCCTGTCCCAGCTTCCTGCTCATTGTCCAACTCTAGGCTATTGCTTGTCTCTTTCTCTATGCCTTGGTTCTTCATCTGGGAAATGGGCTGGCTGGAGGAATAGCTAAGCTAGCAGCACTGTCCCTGGCCTGGTGTAAGCTGTCCCAGGAAGGTTTAGCTGGAAGCTGCCTCCAGAGTCCAGCATAGCAGGGGGCCTGAAATGGTTACAGATGTAGCTGGCAGTGGTATGAGTCCAGAGATGATGGGCATAGTGTGTAGTTTGGTGCTTGAGACCAGAGGAAGAGTGGGATCAGGATCTCTAAGTTAAGGGCTTTTCTTATTGTTCTTTCTTGGGGAGGGGGGTGGGCAGGACATTCCCACCGCAGACAGATGCTTTGTGAATTGTTTCTCATGACATTGGCCTAGAGTTTCTGCCATTGCTCCCCTGCTTTCGTAGGCCAACCTGGGGGTGTCCTGCAGCAGGAAGACCTGCCCTCTGCCAGCTACTACTGTCTCCTGGAGTGCCCCACAGCCAGGGTCTCTTGGCTACAGATTTTGTCCCCCTGGTGATTGTGTTCATACCAGGTCCCTGCCCCCCCCCCCCGACCTCCCTGCACAAGCAAGCCCCTCCATAGAGACACAGGATCTCTGGGGGTGGGGCATGAGGCTGCGTCTCTGCTTCCCACAGAAACACATAGGCTGTCACCCAGCCTGAACTACATCCAAGCCCTATACAAGCCCTATACCAGCAGCCTTCAGGCCAGAGCATGGAAGAAAGCCCGCGTTCCTGGTGCTGCTCGCTGGTCCCCTGCCCACAGCCGTGGCCTGAGGGAGCAGCTTCCTCCCGCATAGCCTGCTCTGTTTATTGTACCTCAAGGGGACTGTGGGCGGCCACATTCATCCAGGAGAGGGGCAGACAGGGTAGGAGAGCAGCAGAGATCGTTAAAACACTTCTCTTTGGAGAACTGGCTTTTCCTCCCCACCCCAGCCAGTTGATTTGGCTTTTTTTCCCCCACTTCCTTATGTCCCTCCTCTCCAAAAACAGACAGCAGTGTAGCCTGGAAAGCCTCCATAGGACTGCCTAGTGTGCACCCCCAACCTCAAAGACCCTCAGTCTCTTCATCTCTAAAATGGGTGTCGTCACAGAAGAGATCGATGTGAGAAAGCGACGGTGGTGGTGTGTCATTGACGTGGTTGCTCACATCCTAGGCTCCTGTTGCCCTGTTGAATTCCACTGAGGCTTATTTGGTGGGGCCCGGAAGCAGCAGGTTTTATTAGTTTTATTAGAGACTCCAGCTGGGACCCCAGTCAGATGGGGCCCTGGACATCCAGAGAGGAGAAGGTTTGCCAAGATCACACAGCCAGTCCCCTGCAGTACCAAGGCCAGTCTGGGTTCAGGGGCAGGGGTGGTTGGAGGTTGGGGGGTGAAGGAGAGAAGTACTGAGAGTCACCTCAGCCTAGCCAGGCTGCATCTGTGAATCTCATTGCTCCTTGTGGCTCCTTGGCTTTTCCATTCCACAGGGGCAGGCAGGAACGTGATTTCCCACTCGACTTGGCTGCCCTCCGAATATCACCACACAGCCCTAAGCCCTCATTCTGAAGCCTGGCTACCTGGGGCAGTGCATCTAAGCTGCCTCAACCCCAGAGTGCCCAGCAGGGGCCTCTAAAGAGCCTGAATCGGGTGATAGGAAACTGAGGCACAGAGAGACTGATCATACTAATTAACTGATTGGGGTCACACGGAGCTCAGCCAATCAGGGAGAGAATAGTATATTCTCAGAGACTCTTTTTCTGGACCTAGGCTTCATGTGATGACCATGTCTGAGGATGGTTGGGAAGGGGAGGACAGGGGTGCCATTAGAGAGGAAGAGGGTAGGTTCCATAACAGAAAAGAAAAAGATCCTTCTGGGGTGACCTTTCACTCAACCTTGGCTCATTTGAATTCAGGGCTCACTAATTCTTTGCTGGGGATAGGAGAAAATGGCTATCTTGCTCAGTGGACTCCTAGTCTCTGTCCTATGGATGCCAATATTTTCCTTCCCCCCACCCTCACTTAAGTTGTGATAACCAAAAATGCCTCTAGACATTCCCGATCTGCCCACCTACTAAATCAGTTCTTTTTCTGAAACAGCATCGGGACACATGGCCTTGTCTGTCCCTAATTGCTAGCTAAGGACACTGATGCGCCACATTCCTCCGTGAAGAGCATGCGGCTCCTCCCAGCCTTCCTTCTGATCTGCCTGGATCTGGGTCTGCTGCCTCCCAGATCCTAAGCTGATCTCTGCCCCCTCAGAGCCACCGCAGTGGCTGCCTCACTCCTTCCTTGCCGCTCTGTGGAGGAGCTGTGTGGGCCTCTGGGGTAGCAGGCCGTGCCCTTGTCGTTTTACTGGCAGGATCCCAGTTCCCAGTTATGCTTCATTTAGCCCTGGCAGCAGCTCTGGTGAGAGGACTCCTTGTCCTCGTTTTATAGAGGAAGACTGAGGTGCAAAGAAGTCAAATGAGAGGCCCCCAATCCCTTCAGTGACAGGGGATGGAAATCTAACTTGTAATGAGGTGTGGTGGGCGGGGACTGAGCTGGCATCTGTATGAGACAGACCCAGAGGAAATGAACGGTGGGAGGGACTTTATCTATATTCAGGGCATGTGTTTTGTCCTCAGAAGCCCAGCTCTCAGCACCTCAGGGACCAACCCTTCCAGGCCAGCCTCCTGCAGCCACTCCTCACTGTGTCTTCTTTTCTCCCTAGGGTGACATGGGAGCTTTGGGTCCGATTGGCTACCCAGGACCCAAGGGCATGAAGGTAAATGAGGGCTCTTCTGGTTCAGATCCAGTCTGTCGCACCCCACAGAGAGCAAGTGCTTCAGATGGCCCTGGGGTGAGAACCCCAAATGGGCTGGGCACGCTGTCTGGTCAGGAGCTCAGCCTCTGCTCTGGCCATTGATACCAAGATGCCATTGAGGCCACGTGCCTTTATTGGATGCTGTAGACCTTGAGCTAAGCACAAATGGGGTTCTGGGCCCAGAAAGTTCTAATATGACATCACCAGGGCAGTGGGAAACAATGGCCAGTGGTAAACCTGGATCTCTCCATAGGATAGGGGACAGGCATACCATGCTAAGACTACAGGGACAGTCTGGTTTGGTCCACCCCATCCCATCAGCATCTTCCTCCTTCTTGGTTAGTCCCCAAAGTGGAGGCTCAGAGCCACGTCTCCCAGCTCCCCCACACTCCGCTGGCCACTAGAACTAAACCCTGGGTAGGGAATCAGCTCCTGGATCCCTTTGGGGTTTCAGCTTCTGACTGTGCAACTCTGGGCCTTTGCCTTGCAGGGGCTGATGGGCGGCGTGGGGGAGCCCGGACTGAAAGGTGATAAGGTGATGGGAATTGTACTGTACTGTGGGTTATTGCATGCCACTCCTCCCAGCATGGGCCGAGCTCGGCCAGACCCCCTGAATCTATGCTCCCAGCTTTCTGCCCATCCCCCTACCTCCCAGAGTGGGGCTCAGATGGACAGCTCTGGGGCCCTGTAAGCCATGGCAGATAGGAGAGGAGGACCACTGAGTCAGGGTCAGGGGTAAGTCAAGTCAGGCCTCTGAATCCTGACAGTACAGTGTGGTCAGTGTGGGGCCTGGAGGGCAGATGGAGGTTCAAAGGAGGTTCAAACAGGCCATGCACACATGTGCCATGACCTGGGAGCCAAGAGCCAGACAGCACACAGACCACAGCACCATAGGAACCCCAGGCTGGTCTGAGCCCTACCTATCTCCCCAGCTGTCATAGGGTTGGGGGGCGGGGGTGGAGGTGTGCAACTGTTTTGCAAACCCACTGTTCAACTCTTTCTGCCACACCCTGTGCCAAACTGTGTTGGAGCAGAGACATGGGTCTTGAGGTCCAGAGCAGAGCATGCACCGGGCCTGACTCACACAGCACTAGATTGGGGGTGGGGGCAGCTTGCCCAGGGCCAAGTCCCTGCTCTCCCCATCAGACTCTGGATAAACTAAGGACCCCAGAGATGGTGTTGAGACCTTTGGGGCAGCATCTCAAGCATCTCCAAGAGAGGGAGGGGCTGCCTGCTGCTTAGTTGCTCCATAGCCAGCTTCCCTCTGCACCATCTCAGATGGCTCAGCTCCTCGTCCACACAGGGACAAAGGAGCAGGTGCCATGTGCCAGATGCCAGCGAACATACTACATGTATCAGACCATTCACCGCCAAACCACAAGCCAAGAAGTTTGCCAGAGGCCGCATGGCTACAAAATAGAGGGTCAGGCCTCGACCCTAGACACCTGGCTCCAGAGAGCTCCACCACCAAGCTGAATGGAAGCTGGCAGGTCAGAACAGATGAGACTCTTGGAAGTCACCTGCTCCAATATAGTTGAGAGAGAGACCCAAAGTGGCAGTGAGGTTTGTCAATAGGATCAAGGTTGCTAATCCAGCCCTCGGACTTGTCATGAGCTTAGAATGTCTGGGATATACCCAGAATTCCAGGCTGCTCCACCCCCTAGGCAGCCAGCCAGGTGTGTTGCTGACCCCAGCCTTTTCTCTACCTGTTTCCACTTTGCCATCCCCTCAAACCTTTGTCACAGCCCTGTCTTGTCTCCCCTTACTCTGACTCCATCCCTCCAGCCCACTAAGCTCCTCTTAGAGCCCTCCCTTCAATGAATGGGTCTTTGTTAGGAGTCTGAGACACCAGAGCTATGGAAAAGTTAGTCATGGTCAAGGAAGAAGGAAGTTGAAGATGAGTGTACGGGAGGGCATTGGGTTTTCTTTCCATGGGGCATCGTGCTACCCAGACAGTCCCTCAGCACTCAGCAGGGAAGATCATGGAAACGAACGCTTCCATCAACTTCTGGCTGCTGCCAGATGGCCTGAGAACTCATACATGTTAAGCTCTAGAAAAAGAAAAGGGGGAGGAATTACTGTCATACCTATGGTTTTGAGGGCAAGCTAGCAAGTCTTGGGGGGAGGGTGAGAGAGGGAGAAATCTCTTTTGCTCTTTAGATGAGGGAGAGGGATCTTGATCTTGTTTGATCACACACACACACACACACACACACACACACACACACACACACACACACACACACACACACACACACACACACACACACACACACACACACACACACACACACACACACACACACACACACACACACACACACACACACACCCCTACCTCTAGCTTACCCTTCCCTAGCCTGCAATTTGGAAGGCTAGAATTCCAGATTTTCCTTGACCCTGCCTGGCCCCAGTCCCCTTTACAACCTTTCTGGCTTCCTCTTTATCCCGGCCTGGAGACACATTTTGAAACCTTGTTACTCAGGCTGGGCTCTCTTCCAATTTGCTCTCTTCATTTCCTAACGTGTGTTTTACGCTTTCCTTTATTTTTTCCTATTTTAATTTTTCTTAAGCTTGTCACTCTTCCTTTGCATATTACTAAAAAAATAAATCCCTTGATTCCTCAAGCTACAGGATGTTAAACTGGCTTTTCCAAATTGGAAAAACTAAAGTTAAGTTCAAAAACAATCTTCTCAATTGTGGCTTGTTCTGCCAAGGAAGGCTCTGCCAGTTACAGCTTTGGCTGCAGTGTGGATTTCCTGTGAGTCTTCATTCTTCCTCCTGCTGCAAGTGCTCCATTCGGCCTGGTGTTGTGGGTGCCTGGCAGTAACTAGAACATGACTGGATCAAGGAGGGAGCAAGAAAGCCTCCCCAGCCAGAACCTGCACAATACATTGTCACAAAAAAAAAGAATAAACAAACACCCAGCCAGGTGCCAGTGGCTCACACCTGTAATCCTAGCTACTCAGGAAGCTGAGGTCTAAAGATCTCAGTTCAAAACCATCCCAGGCATGGAAAGTCCATGAGACTGATCTCCAATTAACTAGCAAAAAATCCAGAAGTGTGGAAGTATGGCTCAAATGATAGGGCACCAGCTTCTACCCAACAAAGCTAGGAGACAATGTCTAAACCCTGAGTTCAAACCCCAGTACTGGCACACACACAAAAAAGCACCACCCAGACAGGTGTAAATTGGGATCAATTTGTAGTCTTCAGAAGTCAGGTGATCTGTTTTCTTTGGAAGCTGATTGAAGTTAGTTCATCAGAAAGAAACTGAAGCTGATCACTGCCACTGGAGGAAAAAGTGACAGCTGACTAAGACACTGGCTCTCCGTGGAGAGGACCTTGTACCTACTGGCTGCCCCTGGCACTGTGTGGCAGTAGTAACTGTTGCTGCTACAGAAGCTGAACTATGCAGAAGCCACTAGAGAAGATGCTATAGCAGTGTCTGCTCTCCAAGAAAGGCTGTGTGATCTCCAAGGCCACTACCCCCTGATGGGCATTTCCAGCCTTCTGAGCAGCTCCAATAGGTGCAGGTGCACCTCCAGCTAGGCCAGCTTATTGCCTGGAGGTGCTTCCCAAACCCAGGTGCCTGTCTGTGACTCCTAACAGGCTGCTGCTCCCAAACTGCCTTCCCCTTTAAAAACAGCCTCCACCCCACAGGGCTGGACCTCCCCTGGCCCCCCTCATAATCTTCTTTGCTGGTGTATACTCAGGGTGAACAAGGGATCCCAGGTGTGGCGGGCGATCCTGGCTTTCAAGGAGACAAGGTAATTGTGCACCATGCTCCCATACCCCTTCCAGCTCCCTGCTCTGGTCCTAGCTTCCTTCCAGGGTGGACATGGATCCATGATGGCAAGCCTCCCTTCATACCATCCTGTCTGAACCTCTGTTCACCTCTCCCCAGAGACCAAACATTTCCATGGCCTCCAACCTTCTTCCTCACTGCCCCAAATTGTCCTTCTGAGGGTACAGCATGCTCTGTGCTTTCACACCAGCCATGGATCCCTAATACATCCAGAGAAATCCTGGCTGCCACCCTAGAAATACACCACCCTATTCATGGGCTCTCTGACACTCTCCTGTCCCTCCTCTTTGTGGCCCTAGAACCCACAGAACCGCTACTGTGTCTCAGGCCCTTTGCGTACACTGCTGCTGGCCTGAAACACCCTCCCCTAGCCTCTATACCACTCTGCTCAGAGATCATTTCTTTCTGTCCAGAAAGTGGCCCTGGGTACCGCATCTGTGCCTCCACCATGATACCATTGTCTCATCTGGTTCCAGGGACTTAATGTTCAGTCTCTGCCAGCTAATGGTTCCTGAAGACAGGACCCTAGGTGGCCCTGACACAGCTCTGCTCAGGGTCTTACACTTCCCAGGGGCAAATTAGAAGGAGGGAGGCAGGAAGGAGGGAGGCAGGAAGGAGGGAGGCAGGAAGGAGGAAGGTGGGAGGAGAGGGAGGGATGATTTGGCCTCCCTGTTGAATTGATCATGGGATGAACTGTGGTAGTCCTGACTTGGGGCTCCTCTGCTTGTGTCTCGCACCATGTGGCCACATCTGGCTCTTCCAGCCAGCCCACCAGGCTCAGATGTCAGGCCGCTCTCCCTCTCCCTCCCTCCTTGTTGGCCTATCCTGACCCAGCCTCAGTGCTGTGTGTTGTGACACTCCAGCTAGGCTGGGGTTTCCAGACCTCCCTGTGTGAAGGACATTACAGGGCCTCCTGGCCCTGGGTCCTGGGAGGACAGGGTTGCTGTTTCACCTTAGGCCCAGCCTTGGGGACCTAGTCAGGGAGCCAAGCCAGAAACCATGCCAGGGAAAGAGTGAGACCCCATAGCTACACTCCTGTTTCTACCTCTTGCTCACCCGCTCCACTGTCCTTTCCAGGGGAGCCAAGGGCTGCCGGGGTTCCCGGGTGCACGCGGGAAGCCAGGACCTCTGGTAAGTCTTCTTCCTTCTCCCCAGCACCCCGAAACTTGCACACTGGCCTTCAGAAGAGAAGCTGGTGACTTCCCAACTGGCCATAGGTGACTAGGTTGCCTTTCCATACCACTACTGCAGAACAGGGCAGGAGAGGCCTATGTTTCCTCTGAGGACACTGGGGGCCAGGGAGTGGCCAGCATTCTGTACCGGCCCCATGCACTATTGGCTTTGATGAGAACTTGACTCTGACACCCAAGGGCAGCTGTGTGTTGCTCAGACACATGTCACCTACTACATCCTTTGTGACTGCTCCTCTGAAGGGTGCCAACACCCCAGAAGCTGGGGGTGGGGGAGTATTACTGTTGTCCCTACTCAGTAGTTGGGGAATCATAGTTGTCAAAGGTGGACAGAGTTGCCTACAATCTCTTAGCTGGTCAGCACAGGAGGAGACATTGGAACCACTGTTCTTTTTTTTTTTTTTTTTAAGCAGATTCAGGCAGATTTCATCCATGTGTTCCAGAACTTTCTGACTGCCCATAGCCAGGGGTAATGTAGGCTTCTAGCAGAATGTGGGGTTCACTTGCCCCAGCCTCCTGACAGCCTCCTCTCTTCCACAGGGTAGAACTGGAGACAAAGGCTCTCTAGGGTTTCCTGGGCCCCCCGGACCCGAGGTATGTGATGTCCTGTCTCTATGTCTGGCCACAGCTGGGATTGTGCTGGGAAACTGAGGCCCAGAGATGAGGCAGGACCTATTTGAGGTCACATAACAATGAGAAGGAAGGCTGACAGTACAAAGTCCTAGATCAGTCTGGGTATGGCGACCCATTTCTGTAATCCTAGTTATTCAGGAGCTGGAGATTACGAGGACTAAGAGAAAATCTCAAGACCTCATCTCAACCAATAAAAGCTGGGTGTGGAGGCATGCACCTGTCATCCCACCCTTGTGAGAGGAGTAGATAGGAGAATTGTGGTTGGAAGCCATCCCTGGGCAAAAATTTGAGACTACCTGAAAAATAATGGATGTAAAAGGGGCTAGGGACATGGCTTAAGGGGTGGAGCACCTGCTTAGCAAGTATGAGGTCCTGAGTTCAAACTCCAGCACTGCAAAAAGGAAGGAAGGAAGGAAGGAAGTCCCAGATCATCCCTCTGCGCTTTCGCATCTCTGCCCTTCCCTCTTACTTAGGGACTCACAGACACATTAGGGACCAAAAGCTGTTCTCAGAGCCCTTCTCCAGCTTAGTGGACATGCTGGCTCTGGGGTGACTATAGAACCATCTGAAGAGCCTTATGCCTTGGCCCCTCAGAAGCTCCCAGGTTCCATTCCCAGAGGCCCCTCTGAGCTCCTGCCCCAGCCACCCAGGAAGGTCCAGATTCTGGTTTGTGGCTTGAGGAAGAAGTAGTGGTGGCTGGAGTTGGCATGCTATCCTAGCGGTTGCCAGGTTCAGGGAAGTCCTGAGAGTTACTAGATGTGAAAATCATCACAAAGAGGCTAAACCAGCCATGACCACCTCAAGTCCACCTTTGGTGGAGTACTGCCAGCCAGCGGAACTCCCCTTGCCTTCTCTGTGACATTGGCATGATGCTAAACCAAGGCTTACCCCAGCCAGAACCCTCTTCCCTCCCCTACCCCAGAGCTCTCAACCTCTGGGCCTTGCTCCTCCACAAACTCTCCGTAGCCAAGGCAAGTCAGGCTCTGTGGTTCTCTAGAGCTTTCCAAAGATGGCTCGTAGGATCTCCAGATGGATGATGAGACCGTGTTTCCTGAAAGCCGCAGTCCGACTTTCCCTTGTGTTGACTTTGGCCGTGACACAGCCCTCTCTAGACAAATGGACCTGGCTTCTCCTCCATTCACTGGTCACTGTGGAAAAAGACTTTCCGAGTTGGGGTTTCCCAGCAATCTGGCCAGCGAGGGCGGAAAGTGCACTCGTTCACTCACATTTATGAGGTTCTTCCTGATGCCAGGCCCTGGGATGTGCGCATGATGATTTGCCCCCTTTCCCTTGGGAGGATGATCCTCCTGCCACTTACCTATGAGGAAACTGAGCCCTAGAGCCCCAAAGTGGCTTTCTCCAAGTTCCCTGCTGCGATGTATGCAGCAGCGAATCAGGCTGACTGAGGCTTGGGTTTCTGCCTGCTCTGTGTTTGTGCTATTTCGATTGGCTGATTCCACAGCCAGGCGACAGAGCACACCCTAGCACCTATGCTGGCCCAGTGTCTATCTCTACATTCCCTGGTCAATCCCAGCTGAATTGTCCCCTTTGCCCTTCCTGGGACAGATGCGAGTTAACATCAGAATCTGACCAGCACTGGTACTGCCGTGTTGGCACTGGAGATGGACTGCCCCAGGCATGCAAAAGGGACCCAAAGCATTGGAAACAGATTTCTCCTGAGTGTTTAGTCAGTTCCAGGCACCAAGCTTAGCACTTTGCTTGCATAATTCATCTCAGCCTCTGCACAGCCCTCTAAGGCTGGAGGAGGGGTGTTCTGAGTCACTTCTGCACCGATGAGGAAGCCGAAGCTCAGAGAGGCTTAGGAACTAGACGGGGATCAGTGAGCAGTCAGTGGGCTCAGTGGGATGAGATTTTGATATGCTCATTTTGAAGAAAAAACAAACACATTGGGCTTTGGCTTCACTGTTTTAGCTTGAAATATAGGATCATTCTTCCCTTTTGCCAGTGGGAAAGAAGAAAGGATGTCTGAGCCAGAATTTAGTAGGAGTTGCTTCAAAGTGGCAGAAAACAACAAAGCTCATGTCAGAAAGCAAGATGAGAGGAGTTCTTTTGTTTGCAGACTCAAAAAGCGCGGCGGGGCCTTTGGTTTCTAGTGATCAGAAAACAGAAGTGATGCCCTAAAAATGAATGGGTATCCTAGGCTGAATTAGCAGAGGTATTACATGGAAAACAAGAAAGGAAATATTCCTCTACTGGTTTGTGCTGCTGGGACCCCCCCCACCCTAAGACACATGGGCATCCTGGTGGCCACCAGCAATGGAAAAGGCCAACTGCAGTCAGGCAGGCTCAAGGGTCCTGGGCTCTGGGCAGCAGCCATGATAAGGCAAAGAAGGGAAAAAACCTGTGAAAGAGGCATCCAAATTGCACAAAGCCCACTACAAGGGAAAGGTATGTGCGTGGCACGGGAGGGACCGGTGCCATCTCCAGGCCTGCTCAGCAGTGAGCCAGGACGGGTGGCATGGGTGGAGTGTAGCACAGCTGGCCAGGATGTCCGGAGCTCTCAGCTTCTGACAGGAGGAGCTGCAGTTCATGGCCTCAGAGTTTTTCAACCAGCTGGATGTCCCAGCCGCCCTGGCAGAGAAGTGCACACATGAACAAAAACACACTCATGGGTAGAATGTCTGAGGTTAGTGGCCAGGCTTTTTGGGCAGGGTGGCTGGCTTCGGAGAGTGGTCCCCGCAGTATCCTAACCCTGTGAGACTTGGGAAATTCTGGCCTGGCATGCCAGGTGGGGCCAACAACCTTTGCCCTCTCCCGTGTAGTCTCACAGTTTCCCAGCCACTCCCTGGACATCAGGATGGTACCTTGGTCCCCGTTTGGTAACTGAAGAGAAGGGATGAAGTGTGCGGCTGGGCTGATAGCAGGATGGATGGCAACCAGCTCACCCTCCTTTGCTGTTTAACAGCCTTTCTCCTGCAGTCCCCACTGACCCCACCTCTTCTTTGCCTAGGGATTCCCAGGAGACATTGGCCCACCTGGGGACAATGGCCCTGAAGGCCTGAAGGTGAGTTCTCTGCTCAGGGCAGCCCTGGTAGACAAAGCAGATGATTCTGTGAAAACCTGTCCCTCCCTCCCTCCCACCAGTCTCCTCCCCTCCCCCTCCCCGCCGACTGCCCAGGCTCGGAAGCTGGAATCCTGCGGCCTGTGAGAGAGACATAGGGGCGGCCTCTGATTCCCTCTCTATTCCCTTCTCCCAGGGTAAGCCTGGAGCCCGAGGCCTGCCAGGACCCAGTGGACAGCTAGGGCCAGAGGTGAGAAGAGTCCCACCCTTCCCCCTTCCCCATAGCCCCTGCCTCATCTGCAGCCTTAGGTTGCTCTGTCCAGGGTACCAGAGACCTTAGCACTGGGCCAGAGTCCCTGGGTTGGGATGCAGCCCAGGGCTTCCTCATAACTCACACACCATTGGGTCTTGTCCTTTCAGCCCTGCCCCTGGAACCCTGTAGGGGCCTTTGGTCACCTGCCTCCCTAACAGGGCAGGTCTCCCTCCCTCCTGCTGCTGCCCGCTTGTCACTCTGAGATTTTTCATTCACTGACACACTGCCTCTACCCAGCTCACAGGAGCAATTTATCTATTGGGGCATTCATATGGCAGGGCAAGAATCCGGGCTTATTGCATAGCGAGTAGTACTGCATAGCATCTCCAAGACCCAGACAGGTAAAGGGGCAAACAGGAACTTGATTTGAACGTAGATCTGCTTAAGCCTAAGGATCCATGATACAGGCCCAGCGCTGTTATGGTCCACACTCTTGGTGCTAGCCAGGTAGTCCTAGAAAATAACATGGCTGGCACAGCCAGTGAAAGGTAATGAGCAGATCTCTCTGGGCATAGAACCAGGTTTTGCCGGTGCCAGAGGCTCCTCCCAGACCCCTGGCACACAGCCTGGCAGGGGGGATCAAGCAGCAGCCTCATCACCCGCAACTGAGATCCCATCTCAGGGGCCGATTCTGGGTCTGGCAGGGACCCAGTGCTGGCTCTGGGAGCCGCCATGTGTGGCTGCTTTCTTGGAAATGGGATAAGAGTTGAGGAGGGAGCTTGGAGGGAGCTCTTGATCAGGCCTGGCCAGCCAGAAGAGCCAGGCTGGAGAACACGTGTGCCCTGCCCATAGGAGGAGAGGAGAGAGAAAAAAGGGAGGGAAGGCTGGCGCCAACCACAGGCCTCTGTCTGCACTCGAATTGCCACACAGGAAAACCGAGACCTTCGCTTGCTCATGACTCATGAATCCCCACACTCACCCCTTCGTTCATTCCAAACATCTCCAGATGCTGCCATCCTAAGTGGTGGCTTTGAAAGAGTGATGTATGTATCGTTGCTGCTCAGAACTCAGCAGAAGCTAAGCATGTGTTACAGGAGAATCATCTCCACTCTGGGAGACTGAGGCACACAAGGTCTGGCGGAGCTCAGAACAAAGCCTACCTCTCAGTCTGCAGTCTGAGCCTGTACTCCACAAATCCTGGCCTCTGGGCTGTGCCTACAGGAACCTCCACCCCTAGGCAGTGGCCAGGTGCTTGGTTTCTCTGTGTCCAAGAGGCTGTTCCTCTGTCTATCTCTTTCTTTGCATACAGAGTAATCTTATCAGAAGCTAGACTAACTATCTCCATTTTTCTTCTCGTGTCTTACTTCTAGGGAGATGAGGGACCCACAGGGCCTCCCGGAGTTCCTGGCTTGGAGGTGAGTGTCACGTTGCTGGGTAGGGGATGTGGGATCAGGTGGAGCTGAACACAGGTAACATCAAGCCAGAGCCCCTGAGAGCAACCAGCAGCGAGAGCCTCGGACCAGGCAGAGAAAGTGCAAGACACACCCCAGAGGAGAGGCAGCAAGCCCTTGGCAGGCTGGGTACTGTGTCTCTGTTTTCTCTTTGGTCTTTGCTACGAGCATCTCTGCTGTTCTTAGCTTACTTCAGCAGAGAGAAGCAGTCAAGGCTGGAAGCATGGAAGATTCAGCCAGGAAGTGGGGACTTACTTAGGGGCTAAGTCTGAGTTCCCTATATAGTTCTGTATAACTTTCCAGAAGCTGCTCATCTGACTTCCTCCATCCCCAAGTTGCTCATACCAACAGCCTCAAACCCCATAAGTGGTTTGGTCTCATATATATATTGGGCTTGAGTTTGAACTTAGGGCCTCATGCTCATGCTCTTTGTGCAGGCACTGTATCAACTGAACTATGACCCCAGGCTTTTGGCTTTAGGTTGTTTGTTTGCTTATTTTCCAGATAGGGTCTTGTGGGTTTTTTTTTCCAAGCTGACCTCAGACTGATATCTTAGTATCAATGCCTCCAAGGATTATAGACATGAACCACCATGTGTAGCTCAATTGTTGAGGTAGAACCTCACTAATTTTTGCCTAGGCCTTAAACCAGTCCTTCAGATCTCTGCCTCCTAAGTAGCTGGAATTGGAGTGTGAGTCATTACACCAGGCTCTCTTTATGCTCCTAAAAAGGACAGAATACTAAAGAGCTTTTGTTTGTATGGGTCCCATTAAAAGTGACCTGCGTTAAACATGTATGAGTACAATGCAAGTAATTACCTGATTTCATGTGAACAAAACTAATCAACTTTACCAAAAATTGCTGTATTTCCCAAATCATAGTTTACTCAGCATTAAAAAAGTGTTTTCATTATCTTTAAGTAGTTTGCCATTCAACAAAGCCATTTATGAATACAGTGTTCCTTGATCAATGTCCCCCCTTTCAGTATTCTCACCCACCCTTCCAGAACCACCCTTTCCCTCACTTTTCTTAATTTTGTGGGATATGTATTGGTTTTTCTTTTGCCATGTCACAAAGCAGTTTACTTGTGCAATGCGTCTTGATCTGTGCGGTCCCTTTTGCAACCCTTTTGAATGCCCAGCTTAAACAAAGTCAGATGGACTCAGCTCTGCCTCTGTCCCATCTGTTGCTACCACGCGTGATGCAGCTTCCAGAAGCTCCATGTACCCTATGAGCATGGCAGTGACAAGGGCAAGGATACTTTGATGCTCCTACGAAAATGATTCTGGCCTCTTGGCCCTCCTAAAAGGGTCTTGGACAGCCCTGAACTCTCTGAGGACCCCTTACATTAACTCCCCATTGTCTTGTTCAGGTGTCATTGTCCCTATTTACTACAAGGAGACCAGCCCAGTGAACAGAAGGCTCCTTGAGGCTATCCCTGTCCATCCAGGGCACCATGACTGTCTCCAACCCTGAAGGAACCTGTACCAGGTTCCCAGAGTTCCTCAGAACCCCTTAGCCCTTCTCCTTACATCTCCTCCCATTGCAGGGTCAATCGGGCAGGAAAGGATTTCCTGGAAGGCCTGGCCCTGATGGCTTGAAGGTGAGGACATCTTGGGGATGCTGGGGGTGACAGGAGAGGGGTGGGCCCCAGAATACAGGGCTCTGTCTTCTATGCCAGTTGTAAGAAGGGAGAGAAAAATGATACGTTTTCTTATCCCCAGTGGGGATGGTGCCAGTGGAGGTGGGGGCATAGGAGCGGAGGTGGGTGTGGACAGGACTCATCTCTGAGGGGCGGGATAATAGGTTTCCACTTGTATACAATATGTTCCCCTTGTGTGCAGTAAATATGCCTTATATTTATTAACAGAACTTTAAAAATTATCAATAAAATCATGCCCACACTGTGCACTGGTGGCTCACACCTGTAGACTTAGCTACTCAGGAGGCTGAGATCTGAGGATTGCAGTTCAAAGCCAGCCCAGGCACAAAAGTCTGTGAGACTCTTATCTCTAATAAACTGCTCTGGAAGTGGTGCTATGGCTCAAGTGGTAGAGTGCTAGCCTTGAGCTGAAGAGCTGAGGGACAGTGCCCAGGCCTAGTGTTCAAGCCCCATGGCTGACCAAAAAACAAAACAAAACCTGCCCAGAGCAGGAAAGGAATGATTCCCCATCCCACGGGCAATCTCACTGGGGTCCCCTTAGAAAAGGATGGAATGTGGAAGAGGTCACTAGAGGAGTTGCATGAATGTTCTAACTCATTCTGGAATGAGATTCTTGGGCCAGGTTTACAGGTGGGCCAATAAACCCAAGGAGAGCAGGAAGGGCCTCTGGCTGCCGTGTCTGCCCTCCCTCCTGGTGAGTGCCTGGCCCTTCTGGGTTTTGTGAACATGAGGTCCAGCGCAAGAACTCAAGGAGAGGACATGGCTGTGCCAGGATGCAGGGAGCTGCATGCATCTCCCAGCCAGGCTTCTGTGGTGTCACTGCTGTCCCTCAGATACCAGTGGGGTTTCTGTGGTGGAAGGCTGACACATCTGAGTGGATTTGTCCCACGTGTCTACTTGCCTCTGATGAGGGCACTGTGGCTACGTGCAGAGCAGGACTTGCCCAGCATGGGCCCGAAGCTGCCAGGCAAGGCCTCAGGAGACAAAGGAGCATGGTCTCCCTTACTACAGCTGGAATCTGAGGCCTAGGACCCTGATACTCTAACCCCAGCACCTGCTCCCTCTGTGGTGCGAGGTCCCCACTCTAGCCCTCATTCTAGCTTACTGTTCGAACTGAAACATTTAATCCACTTCTTTGGGCTTCAGTTTCCACCTACACTACACTACACTACACACACACACACACACACACACACACACACACACACACACACACACACACACACACACACACACACACAGTAGTGTGTGGAGGGCCCAAAGCAAGACATACACATTAGGATGCTAAGCAGGTGGCTGATAGGTGACTAGTGTTCTGGGAGGGCAGAGGCTCTGTCCCAGTACCTTTTGGTCCCCGAAACTCCTAGTCCATCAACATCAATGACAGTGAAGGCCAATGGCTCTGGGAAGTTTCCCTCAGGAGGCCCAGCCTCCCATCTCCCAACCCATGATCCTCTTTGTCTCTTTGTAGGGGGAGCCAGGCGATCCTGGACGGCCAGGGCCTGTGGGCGAGCAGGTGAGTTAGTGCAGGCACCTCGGTCCATCCTCAGCCAGCGTTGGTACCAAGGTCCAGCCCTTCCCTTTGTCACAGAAAAGGAAGTGGGGGGGGGAAGGTATAACCTAAGTGTTCAACCAGTTATTTGGTTAATGGGACATAGTGTAGCTATTCAAGATGTTGTAGAATATTTTACCCAGTGGGGGTCTAAGGGAGATGTGGGTTATAAAGAGGATACTCAGTGAACAGTACTGTCAGAGAGAAGAGATCTCTGAATGAGAATAACTCTGCCTGACTCTGCACGTTTCTTGAGACCTTTGCCCACCCACAGAGTCACATGACTTTGCTCCCAGGTCTGGAGGCCCCCTGCACCGTCATTCCTGTGCTCCACGAGGCCCTGGCCAGTAAAGCAGAACCATTTGCCAGGGGCTTGTGGTCTAAGCATCCCTAAATTATAAAGAAGATGAAACTCAAACCAGTGGCTTTAGCCAGCTGGGCAGTGAGGCCAAGGTCTGTAGCAGGGAGGTGGTTACCAGTAGTCATTAGGAAAGTCTGCGGGGGCTGGGAACATGGCTTAGTGGTAAAGTCCTTGCCTAGCATGCATGAGGCCATGGGTTCATATTCCTCACGACCATATCAATGACTAATAGTAATAATAATAAAATATATATTTAGTATTAAATTATACATACATATATGTACACATATATGTATATGTAAAGTCTGAGGATCGTCACCAGCAATTATCCAAGTCCAGAGAAACAGCGCGGGAGTGCTGTGTGATGGGCAGCTGTAGTCCCTCCCACCAGCCTAGCACCTCCTATGAAGCTTGCCTTCTGGCTCAAAGGTGGAACCCACTCGTTTAAATGAGCCCCACCCAGAAAGGGTTTCCTGGAGCTGAAGGAAGAATGATGCTGGGCTGGCTGGGTAGTGAAGCACCGTCAGTGTGGAAGTTGTACGTGATGGCTCTTACCCCGCCTGCAACAGCTGTTGGGGAAGAAAGGAATTAAAGCTGGAGGAGTAGAGATTTTTGAACTCTTTCCAGTGTCATTTGAGCACTTTCTGTGGGAAGCCCAGGAGTATAGAAGGGCTGCCACAGCTTGGATGGATTTCCTGATGGGAAGAAAAAGGCAAATATGATCAGCAGATTCAAGTGCATAGCTTTGCTAAACCAGAGGACTCTGGGAGAAATAGAGCCCCAGAATACTCGACTGTCAAGACACAAGGAGTACTTGGAAATCACTTTATTCCAGGGCCCTAATCAGCTTTTTTTTTGGGGGGGGGGTGGCTTAGATTCCTTTGCCAGGCTGATAAAACCTAGGGATTCCCCCTTCTCAAACTATATTTTAAAGTCATGAGATTTTTTTTTTAAGTTTCAAAGAAAACCAATTATATGGAAATGCTATTATGAAAATACGGCCCGATGTGATAAGCTCGCCTCTCTCCGTCTTGATTAATGTGGTCAATGAGATTTAGCAGCAGCTTTAATGGTCACCTCAATTTTGAAGCAGTGATAAGCCTTCATCGTGCTTTCTGAGATCTCTGCCTCAGTGACTGGCATGTGACAGGGGACAAGACAGGCATTGGTGTCACTGCTGTTACCTCTACTCATATGGAAAGGAAATGCTAAATGGTTAGAGGCCAATAGAAGTTGTGGTGTATTTTTCTGTTCTAGTTCATGGTAGGGAGAACTTACATACACCGAGTGCCCGTAAGTGCCACGAATTAACTGGAATACTTAGAACTTCTAGAATGTTAGAAGTTAGGATGAGGAACTCTTGTTGTCCCTCACTTCAGAGATGAGGCACAGCCGGGCGCTGGTGGCTCACGCCTGTAATCCTAGCTACTCAGGAGGCTGAGATCTGAGGATTGCGGTTCAAAGCCAGCCCGGGCAGGAGGTACCGTGAGACTCCTATCTCCAATAAACCGCCAGAAAACCGGAAGTGGCGCTGTAGCTCAAGTGGTAGAGCGCTCGCCTTGAGCTGAAGAGCTGAGGGACAGCACCCATGCCCAGAGTTCAAGCCCCACGACTGACAAAAAAAAAAAAAAAAAGAAACAGAGATGAGGCACAACCTAGTAAGCACTTGCTATGACCAGTACAGCAACTCCAGGCTACAGAAAGACCTTCACAGCTCTGCCACAGTGACCAACGTTCAATAGAAATGAACCTTGAGGTCACTCATTAGGTGACCTGGAGTGATGCCATCACCTAGCTCATTGGTAAGTCACCTGATCTGCTTGTGTGAACACACAACCTATGGTCTTTACCAACTCTAGGTCTTGTCTCCTTTTGACTGGAGTTTGGGGAACAGATCTGATTGGAGGAAATCTACCCATTCCTGTGTTTCCATTCCTGTGTTAGCCCAGAAACTCAAGTCTCACATCTAGGTTCTTCCACACACTCCTGACCCATATGAGAGCTTGCAGCATTTTCTTAGTGGAGAGGCAGGGGTGGAGTAGTCTGACTTCCTTTGGGCTTTGCTAGGTTGTTTACCTGCTATGCTTATCCGTTGAGAATGATAGCAAAACCCAGTCCATTTAGAAGAACCTCCTGGAACATGGAGAAAAATTGTCACCCAGTGGAGTTCAAAGAGTCAGCGGAGCCTCTGTGTGTGTGTGTGTGTGTGAGTGTGTGTGTGCACCTGTGTGTGTTCATCTATGTGTGCATGTGCACCTGTGCATGTGTGTGCCTGTGTGCATGCATGTGTGCCTATGTATGTGTACCTGGGCATGTGTGTTATGTATGCGTGTGTGTGTGTATGTGTGTGTGTGTGTGTGTGTGTGTGTGTGTCCTTTCAGCAGGCACAGGGGAAGCCTTTCAGAAGATAGTGACAAGGTCTATGAGGTCTTTTGGCAGAGGTATTTCTTTTTTTTTCTTTTTTTTTTATTGTGAAAATACTGTACAGAGAGGTTACAATTACATGGGCAAGATAATGAGTACACAGTATGTTCACAAATAAAATTAAATTAAATTTAAAAAAAAAAAGATAATGAGTACATTTCTTATGAAGCATTGTAGCTCCTCCTTTGTTTCCCCTTCCCATCCCTTCCCATCCTCCCCCCCCCCCCGCCGCCGCTCCCCTCCCCCTCCCCCCCCCCCCCACAGAGGTATTTCTGTAACAGTAGTTCTGTCCTAGTCAGTGACTTTGTTTCTCTCTTTGAAACAATCCCAGAGCCCCAAAAGGCAGGGACAGATGGCCTCTTCCCAGCACACTTCAGCCCTCCCCCTGCCCCCAGCTCCAAACATGGCTACCTCCCAGCCTGCTTCTGGCTCAGGAAGAATGTGCGGCTCCCAGGGATGCTGGCAGCAACCCCAGTGCTCGGCCTTCAAATCAGAACCATCTGGTGGAGTGAGGGAAGTCAGGACGGTGCCCAGAGCCAGGCAGTGTGCACCTTCCATGGCAGACAGGCTGGCTGGGTCACCAGGCTTAGGGCCAAAGGCCTAGGACCTGAACCCTAGAGGATGGAGCGTGTGTGAACTCAGCACCTCTTGTCATCCGACTCATCTTCTTCCCTCTTACTTTCCAAATGTATCCTCTAGGGGCTCCTGGGATTCATTGGTCTGCTCGGGGAACCAGGAATCACGGGAGAGAAGGTAAGCTGCGTTGGGGAAAGAAATAAACAAGAGGTTGTATTTTGGGGATTTGAAAAGGTGGAAGGCAGACCACTCCCCTAGCTTCTCTTTGGTCCTTCCTAGAGCCTGTGTCTCCTGTTATGGCAACCCTAAGGAATCTTCTTGCCCTCCTGTCAGCCACAAGCAGCCTTAGACATTTGGGTGACAACAAGCAGAACTAGCGGCCCTTCACGGCCGCCCACTGCCAGTACCCAACATGGGCAGCAGAAGAGAGAGAGGGATCTGTCTTCCGGAAGAGGCAGGGTGGGTGGTGGTGGTGGTAGCTTTGGTCTCAGATGCCTCCATAGCCCCAGCAGCTTGGTCTTACAGTCACCATGGCCACAGCAGAGCAGTTAGTTGACTTGCTTGAGGTGACACAGAAAGTAAGTGGCAGAGCTGAGCTTTGAACCACGTTCACATGTTCAAAGCCACACTGTTTACTATCTCTCTCGGCCTCACACTGACTCCCAGATTGCTTACAGCAGTGCTGTGAAGCCATTTGCCTTCCTTTGCCTGAGCTTTTCCAGTCCCCAAAATAGGCCCCGGTCTGGAGGGGCCAATGTTATCATCCCTGCTAGACAGCTGGAGAAACAGTCCAACCTGGCCTGGCTCTGCCTAACCTAGTAGATTCTTCATCATCTGGGGTCCCAGACCTTCTAGGGTCTACTGCCGCTCTTCTTCCTCTTCCTTTAAATGGTAGAATATATATTTAAATATGCCTATCTTTTGACATTGAGACTACAAAAAGCTGTCCCCAAAAAAAGCAAAACTAGAGAAGATCTTATGTATCCTTCACCCTGAGAGCTCGGGTGTTACCAGCTGAGATAACCATCGGGCTGTATAAAACCAACTTGGCCATTCTTTTGTAGTCCATGGGTCTTCTATCCCTTACCTACCAACATCCAGCCACCCAACTGCCTTCATCCAGGATACCTTCTCATTCCATTCCACCTCCCAGTCTTTTCATTGTCTGGCTCACCGTTTTTTCATTCTTTTTAAAAATACTGTTGTTATTATAAAAGTGATGTACAGAGAGGTTTCTACATAAACCTGGTAAAGAGTATAGTTCCTTTTAGACTACATCACACCTTCCCTAGCTCTCTCCCAGTGTTTCCCTCCCATCCTCACCCATAAGTTGTATAGTTCATTTTCAACACCGTATCTAGTGAGTGAGTACCCTTGCTGCATTTGTTCATCCTTTGTCCCTCCATTTCTTTGCCTCCCCTTATCCCCCCAAAGGCATATAAATGAACAATCAGAACAAAAAGAAAAGAAACCTCTTGTTTCCATTTCCTGGTGTTCATTTTGATAAATATTACTTTGTATGATCAGATGCACATAGGCATTGCATGTCTGGCTCACTTCTAATGAGCTTCTGCCTCAAGTGAACCTCTCTGAGAGGACCTTCCTCACCACCTGACCCCCAGACTGGCCCTGCCCTGTGCTCTCCCTCCTTGGACCCAATCTGGGTTGCATCTCTCCCAAAGTTCCTGTCATTTCCCTGCCATTCTAGCCACTTGGGTGTGGACTGGTCTGTTTCTGCTTTTTTGTTACCCAGAGTTGAGGTCTGAACTCAGGGTGTCACACTCACCAGGCATGCACACTTGAATCATACCTTTATACCTTTTGTTTTAGTTGTGTGTTGGATAATTTTCTATTTTTGTCCAAGCCAGCTTGGACTGTGATCTTCCCATTTGTACCTCCCATGTAGTTGGGCTACCATGCTTGTAACCACCATGCCCAGCTTATTGATTGAGAGGGTCTTGCTAACATTTTGCCTAGGTTTACCTAGAACTTTATTTCTCCCGATCTATCTCTGACTTCTGAATAGCTGGGATTAGAGGTATGAGCCGTAGCATCCAGCCTATTTCCACTCTTCATTTGAGTATTTTGGGCCTGACAGATAGAATTGGGCACATAGTAGATGCTCTTTGCTGCCTGTGTGGATGGAAAAGTGGCTGTCAGGAAAATAGAGGCAGGATGGAGCTTCAGCCTTCTGGCTGTAGTTTTGGCTGATGTCCCTGCTCTCTGGCTCTCTAGTCTGATTGGTCTAGAAGGAATGAGTTATCTCTGATTCCCCCAGATCTCTTTTTGGATCGATCAGTGGGTGAAAGACCTCCATGATGTTTTCTGCCCCCAGGAAACCTAGCCCAGGGGATTCTGGGTCTAATGAAGACCTTGTAATGTGGATCAGGATCAAGGGGCAGGGGGCAATAGTAATTAGTGCATTCTTAATAAGAACAGCTCTGGGCCCAGTGATACCCTCTGTGTGGTGAGCTTCAGGAGGCTCTGAGGCTACTATAGGAGCCTCTGAAGGCCTGCCTCCCAGATCTGGCTTAAGGCTTTGGTTTTCAGCAAGTAAAACCCTTGCCAATGACGTGGCTGTGAGCAAAGCAGGGAGTCTGCATAGACCCTGAAGTCCTGGGCCCTTTTGAGTCCCTTGGAAGGACTACTGCGTGGGCCCCCCCAGAGCCACCTGCAGCCCAGCCATGACCTGTTGGTATTGCTGTCTCCACCACAGGGTGATCGCGGCATGATGGGGCCCCCAGGTGCACCTGGACCCAAGGGGTCGATGGTAAGGAGTAAGTCTGCATCCTTTTGCCTCTGCTGTCCCAGCCTAGGTGACACTGCTCCTTCTACCTGCCACAGGCCCCAGACCTCTCTGCAGGAGGCCTAGCTTTTTTCCCTTGTGGCTCCTGGCTGGGGCTGAGTGGCTAAGGTGGGGTTGCAGGAAGAAGAGGCACTTCCCTCGGCTGATCCATCCTTTTCCTTCTTGGCAGGGTCATCCTGGAATGCCAGGTAGTGTCGGGACCCCTGGAGAGCCTGGGCCCCCGGTAAGCAAAGCCCTCTTTGTCTCTGAGCCAAACACATGGTCACAAGTGAGGGTATAGAATCTTGAACTGGCATGGAAACCCTGCCTACCCTCTCTGGGGAATTAATCCCCACACTTCTCTGAGTCCAAATTTTTGCTCATCGGGAAAGTAGAACAAATAATTGGGGCAATGAAAATGTAGCTCTGCGGGTTAATGAAACTGGGGGATAGATGCTCATCGCGAGTGATATGTGTCACTCAAGAACACCTTGATCATCCGGATGTTGGCAGCTCACGCCTGTAATCCTAGCTACTCAGGAGGCTGAGATATAAAGGTCACCGTTCAAAGCCAGCCCAGGCAGGAAAATCTGTGAGTCTCTCATCTCCAATTAACCACCAGAAAACCAGAAGTGGTGCTGTGGTTCAAAGTGGTACAGCGCTAACCTTGAGCAAAAGAGCTCAGGAATAGTGCCCAGGCCCCAAGTTCAAGCTCCATGACCCACCAAAGGGAGGTTAAAAAAAAAAAAAAAGAACACCTTGGTCAGTAGCATTACTGCTCTGTCTGTATCTGAGCCATGTCAGCAGGAAGCAGCCGTGCCTTTCATTCTGAAAGATCAGGACAGAAAGAACCCAGTAATCAAGACATGCTTGCTATGGAGGGGCTCTGAGCTTGTGATGACAATAGAAGACTCAGGGATGGTCCTATATAAGGATCTCAGGCGGAGAGATAGGGAGGGCTTCAGGACTCCAGACTTAGGACCCCCTTGCTTGTGGACCCTCTGCTTCTGTGTAAAGGAGGGTGTAACTTCATGAAGGGAGTTGACTTCAGTCAAGATTAAAGCTCCAGTCTAGGAGTCCCAGAGGGTGAGGCTTAGGTACTTGGACAAATATGGGAAGGACCACCCTATGACAGCTGGGAACCATGGAAGAACTGCACATACATGATTCTTGGTGGCCAATCAGGGAAAGCAAAGCCAACTCTGACCCCCAATGGTGTGCCAGACATACACAGCCCCAGAGGTGCAGGACTGGTTGGAGAGTCCCTGTCTAGAGTGATTGTCAGTGAAAACGTTCTCTTAGTCATTAGCAAACTTTCACTGAGTGCCCCCAGCACTCCAGGCAATGCTAGATGCTGAGGTAGGATGTGAAGGGACTCTTCCCAGGTGAGAGACTGTACAGAAGTACTGCTATCTAGGGCTGATGCCAAGGCTCAGCGGATGCCCTGTCATCCCTGTGGTCCCTTAGATGACGTAGAAAGTTCTGGGCAGAGCTGGGATCATAGCCGTGATCTGGGCTCTCTGTCACTTGGTGTTTTTCTCTGAACATGAGGAGGATGAGAAGCACACTTGACCTGAGATTGAAGGAGCTAAGGATGCAGAAACGGGACTGTAGGGGAGAGAAGCAAGAGGCCAAAGGACCGGTGTTCTGCTGGCTGGGGCTAGCCTAGTGGCCAAGGCTGCCAGCCTGGAATCCCAGTGTCCAGTGTCCCCACTCCAGAGGCCGCTAGCCCCTTTCCTCTAGGCTCAGAGATGGAAAGACTGGAGCCCACTAGCATGGGAGGCACCACGCTGAAGCCGCAGCTTGGGGTCCATTGCCAAATTCTACCTCTTGTGTCCCTGGCCTAAGTCTCTCGACATTTGTCCAGTGAGAAGAGAAAAGCTGGAAAAGAGGTCACTGGGGCAAAGTAAGAGGCTGGAGGTGGGACCGGGAAGGCAGTGGGAACACCAGGCTCTATCATGGCAGGAACTGTTAGCTATCATCGCTGCACATGGGAGTTGTCCAGCTATTGCCACTGAAGGTACTGGGCCTATCTCATTGGCCTTTTCCCAGTGGCACCGATTCCCATATTCTACAACAGTCTACTTAGCCAGCCAAGAATATTCCCCACCCCCACCCCCCATTTCTCAGTACCTGAGCTGGCTCTCACCCTGGGTCTAGCCTCTCCCTACGTGCAGAGAGAGAGCAGACATATGGCAGCCTTTTCCTAAGGACCCACTTCGGTCATATCAGTGTCCTGCGGCACTAGCTGATAGGGACACCGTGTCACAGATGAGAAAACCGAGACCCAAAGAGTCTTAAGCACTTGAGGCGACCTGGTTAATTGGTGGCAGTGGCAGGGTGTGAAGACTGGACTCCCAGCACTTCCCAGTGCTAACTGGTTACCTCACCAGCCGCTGCCAGACCTGCCTTTTTATCCAGGCAGGCCAGGATCATGCCAAAGCCCCACCCACTCAACACCAGCAGTAGCCAGCAGAGTCTGTGGGGGTGACATGGCTGCCAGAGGATCTGCCCACGCTGGTCTCTGCTTAATGAGATCTGCCCTGTCTCCTGCATACTGCAGCCCCTTTGCTGATGTTTGTGCCCACTCTGGTGCTGAGAAGTCAAAGAAGCCAGCCCACCGGCTCTTTCTTCCCCTCCTTTCCCTTCCTTTCTCTTCATTTCTTCTTCACCCTGCTGGGGACTGCTCTTTTCCTTCCACCCCTCCCACTGCCCTGCCCTGCCCCCACCTTTCCCTTCTCCTTCCCTATGACCCTTTAAGGGTCTTTTTTGGTGTCAGGGTAAGGGGACAGCACTTGGATCCCTGCTGGGGAGAAAAAAGGGCACATGTTTTAAAGAGACTGTCACACATGTCATATAGCCTCTCATTGAGTTTGAGATAAATAAGGAAGCTGCTCTCCCAGGGGAGGTGTCTGCTCACTGCCCCCAGGAGCCTAGGAAAAAGTTTGCCTTTAACTGGCCAAGCCTAAAAGTTGTCTTGAATATGGGAGCCCCTGGGCCAGGCTGGACCACCCAATTGAGGCTGCAGTGACCCCTATGCTGTTGTTGCCCCCCTAAAAAGGGTTCTTCTCCTCCCACAGGGTGCTCCTGGATCTCGAGGCCCACCAGGCGTGAGGGGAGCTAAGGGTCGCCGGGTAAGTCAGACCCACACCTGCCAGAGACCACTTCCTGGCCCTGACTCTTGTGATTCCTATAGCATGGCCAAGGTCCATGCTAGCCCTGGAACTGTGCTGGGCCTGGGCCCTGGGGCCTTGTTCTGGTCTGGGTTGGAGCCTCTGGGTCTTGCAGTCTACTGGGCACCAATGAGTTCTCTGGTCCACTCATTCACATCCAGCCATCATTTCTTTACCATCTGCTGTGGGAGGCGCTGCAGAAACCTGGGAGAATGGGGCAGGCAGTTCCCCTGCCTGGCCGCCTGGGCAGTCAACAGTTTGACAGGCCTGAGACAGCAGGCAAGAGCAGTCCTCAGCCCAGAGGTGGAGGGCGCTCAGGCTACATGGAGGCTCCTCACCTGGGAAAGGTGCCCAGGAAGGCCTTCAAGAGGGCTTCTAGGCAGAGCGCCTGGCTTGGGGGAAGGCATGGTGGGTTTAGGGATTCCTAGTCAGCAGAACACGGAGCAGAGGGATGGAGCCCAGATTTAGCAGGCACTGTGCCAGGCAGAGCCTCAACAGCCATAGCTAAGCTCTCAGGGTAGTGGGGAGCCACAAAGATTTAAGATAAGAGCTGAGCCTGGAGTATTCAGCAGCACTCTGCAAGCTGGGTACAGCTCAGGACACTGACTTTTAGTCCTGGTTCCTCTTGGACCTCAGGAAGCCCGCTTTCCCTTTGAGCCTCTGGTTCTCTCTGCAATGGGCCAGTGACAGAACAACAGACCAGATAGCTTGGCCATAGACATTTAGTAACCTCACAAGAGCCCCTCTACTCCACCCCTCCTAGGCAGTGGGCAGAGTGCCTACCTGTCTTTCTCTCCTTCCTGCACCCCTTTCTCATGAGGGCTGGGCATGACCAGGGTTGTTTTTGTCTCTGCCAAGCCTGATTTGGGCCTGTCTGGAGAGGAGCCCCAGACACGGGCAGACATTGGTCGTGGGGAGTGTGTACGTGAGAGTTGATGCATGGCTTGGACGGAAAGTCAGGCTGCCTTAACTGGAGGTCTGCCCAGCGTATGGGGAAAAGGAGGGTAGATCAGGGAACCCACAGGATCACTGGGGCATGGCCAAAGCCAGTCCTCCATGTATCCATGCACAGCGGGCTAAGGAGACAGGGTGGCTAGTGGCCAAGTGAATCCTCTTCTCTGCAGACAAGTAAATGTGGTCCCATTCCCCCAGGCTGCCTCCCCGCAACACCCCCTCCCCCAATACACATACACATACTTCTCCCTAAGCTTGCCAGGGTCAGGGGTCTCCTAGAGTTTTAAAAGATCTTGTTTTAAGCTGGGTGCTGGTGGCTCACACCTGTAATCCTAGCTACTCAGGAGGATCTGAGGATCGTGGTTCAAAGCCTGCCTGGGCAAGAAAGTCCATGAGACTCTCATCTCTAAATCAACCACCAGAAAACCGGAAGCGGCAAAGTGGCTCAAGTGGTAGAGCGCTCACCTTGAGCTGAAGAGCTCAGGGACAGCACCCAGGCCCAGAGTTTAAGCCCCACGACCGACCAAAAAAAAAACGACAAATCTCGTCTTCTCAAATACCCTGTCCTCTATGCAGCCTTCCTGGCAAGCTCCTCTAGGCAATGACTTGCATACTCCCCTGTGATGGGGACCTCATTCTCACCCTGACCCCCTGAGCAACAGTGAGAGACAGTGATTAAATAAATGGGCATCCATGACGGGTTCAAATGCACACTATCTGTGTGATCACACTCAAATCCACCTCCATGTCTAGCCTGCTTTCTAGTTGGTAAAACAGGATAATAGCTCTATCATTGCTGCTGCTGTTTTTGCTATTATAATTAGATTACAGCCTTTCTCCAAGGACGATTTTGATCCCTGGGGAGAGCTGGGTGCTGTGTGACTCAGGCTGTGTGCCCACACCTCCTGGGCTGTCTCTTTTTAGGTAGGCATGAGCCTCTGTAAGATGGGGACTAGGTCTTGGCCTGTGTCCTAAGATGCCTCATGTCACCATGGCTCTTTTCCTCCTGGGTCTGTGTTCATGAGTAGGGCCTGATGGTGTCCATGCAGATGAGCCTGAACTGCTGGGTGTTCAAGGCAGTGGATAAGTGAGTCTAGTTGTGTGTGTGTGTGTGTGTGTGTGTGTGTGTGTGTGTATGCACGCGCGTGGCACGTGCATATGTACTAGTACTAGGGCTTGAACTCAGGCCCTGGTCACTGTCCCTTAGCTTTGTCACTCAAGGCTGGTGTTCTGCCAGTTGAAACACAGCTCTACTTCTGGCTCTTTAGTTTCCTCATTCCTCCGCAGCCATTCTCTACATGCCCAAACCACCTTGGTCTGGAGGTGTCACAGGCTGGTTCCAGGATACGCTTTGTCCCCCAGCACAGGCCTTTTCCTGCTCTGCCCCCAGAGCAAGCACCGTAGTGCTCCAGGGGCATCTCCAGAGGTTCTGTCCTATCTCTCTCCATGGCAAGGCCCTCGAGGGTGATGCCAACTTGAGGCCTACTAAGGAGCCTTGCACTAGCCTCTTCCTTTGGCAAGGCCTCTGTTCCCACCAGGGACACTGGGATTGGAAGTGGGCTTCACCTGTTCCCAGAACTTCCCAGCTTGCCAAGGACTGAGACCGCTGTCCGAGGAATTAGACTGAACCCAAGGTTCTGAGGGTCAGTGGACAGTGGCCTGGCTCTTGCACAGCTGGCCAGGGAGGGGTCTGCTTCACACATCTGGCTGTGTGGCCCGTCATCCCCGTGCTGTGACTGCTCTAGAGAAGCAGGCAGCAGTACTGGGTGAATACCAGTTTGAGGACCTGGCTGTGTGTGTCTTGGCTCTGGTGTTCAGTCTCCTCTGTGCAATGGGTGGTCTGAGCAGCCCCTCCCACTGGAGTCTCTGTAGACAGGGTTCTTCATGCACAGCTCCTGCAGAGCCATCTCAGGCAGGCACTGCATCCAGTGGGTTGCGCCAAGGGGTGCCAGGTGTGGGAAGGTAGGAGGCTGAACCCAGTCTTGAGCAGGGCAAGCCCCACATTCTGGGTTAGCTCCGCCTTCCTGTTTCTCAGCCCAAGGGAGACCCCTGCCGTCCACTGTGCTAGAATCTTCTTCCTATTCCAGGGCCCACGAGGACCAGATGGACCAGCTGGGGAGCAGGGGTCCAAGGGTCTGAAGGTACTGACCTTGTGGCCTGCTCTTTACACTTTCCTGAGGGTTGGTGGGGGGGGAGGTCAGAACCCCAGCACCAGGGCTCAGCATTCCCACCCCAGACCCCTATGGATAGCAGGGAGTCCCAGAGAGGCTAAGGGCACAGCTCCAGGCCCTCATCCTGTCACCCTCCACTCTGCAAGCCAAGAACAACAGGAAGACAGGGTGGGCCAGAAAGATGCACTCCACTGGGACCCCTGGAGCTGAGGCTACTTCTGCAGCCCCATCAGAAGGAAGAGGACCTTGGTTCTTGACCCAGGGTACTTGTTACTGGGTACCTAACTCCTTCTGGACTTGAGTTTTCCCACCTGTGCAGTGGGGACAGGGGCAAACACGTGGTCTCATGGGTCCCTTCGCTCTTCTGTGGGGTGGATCCCTTCTCTGTGAAGGGTCCTTCCGAGACATTTCCAACCTTCACACCATACAGGGCCCTGCAGGACCTCGAGGTAGACCAGGCCAGCCTGGACAACAGGTATGTCAGACCATGACTATGCCGAACTAGCTGCCTGGCCCCACTCCCTCCATCTGCCCTGTGCTGTGTGCCTCTAATGAGCCCCTGACCCCTACCCCCCGGCCATGTGCTTGCAGGGTGCGGCTGGCGAACGGGGCCACTCGGGCCCACAAGGCTTCCTCGTAAGTAATGCCAGAGCTTTGCGGGTGATGGTGGGGAGGGATCCACAGGTACCCTCATCTTTAGCAGAACCCCATGGTGCTGGTTACCCACCCCTGGTCTCCACACCCCCATCTGTCACACCAGATGCCTTACTGACTTGCTTGAGGTGGGTGGGGGAGAGGGAAAGGAGGCTGACAGGCAGGGTGAGGTAGCCATGAGAAACTGAGGTTCTCTGTTTCTGTCTCTACAGGGCATCCCGGGTCCCTCTGGCCCCCCAGGTGCCAAGGGCCTCCCAGGAGAACCGGTAAGTGTGTTGTCTGTTCCCTCTCTCCTTGCCATCCTTGCCCCTATCAGGTTGACGGAGCTGGACCTCTACTTGGGGTGGGGGCAAGGTAGTCAGACAAGAAGAAGGACTAGAAAAGGACATGCCAGGCTCTGTCACGGATAGGCCAGGCGTCCTGACAAGAGATTTGCATGGGAGGAAGCTCTGGCCTAAGTCTTGGCTGACTTGCTCTGCAGCCTGTTTTCTTGCCAGGAAACTGAGGACAACCACCCTTCCCTTGACATCCTGCTGTAGACATGACATGAGACATGGGTAGTGAGCTCAGCACGGAGAGAGGCAGGAGGGGGGAATGGTGGGGTGGGGGCGGGGGGCAGAGAGAGAATAAAGTAGCAGCTGCTTGAGGAGGGAGCCGTCTTCAGAGACATGGTCATGCTCACATTGAGTCTGTTTTGTCCCAAGGACAGGGCTGTCACTGAGGGGAACAGAGGCACAGTACAGGGACATCTCGGAGGGATGGGTTGGGGGAATCTGAGTGTCAGGGGCAGGGCACCCCTGCAGAGGTTCCTGGAGTTGCCCTTTGACCCCAGTTGGCCAGAGGTGGGCAGGATCATATGGCATTTCCAGAGGTGGCTTTGAGGGGAGAGCAGTATAGAAGAGAGATGGTGTAGAGTGAGCAGGACTCAAGCTTTCTGCATGGGGCGGGGGGTGGGGGGGAAGGGGCACAAGAGTTTGGGGAAGCACAGAGAACAGTGCACTGGGTGGCAGGAAGCCGCAGACAGCTGGAGGTGGCTGTGTGGCCCCAAGATCTGTGGTCCTCTCTATCCCTGCCCCTCACCCCACTGCTACACACTGCATCATCAATCAAGCCTTGGGCCCCAAAGGAGATATAGGCCAGCTTTTCCCAACCATCTATGTATCTGTTTCCAGGGACCTCAGGGACCCCAGGGGCTAGTCGGCCCACCAGGAGAGATGGGACCCAAGGTGAGTGACGAAGGGCTCTTGTTTGTCCCTTGTTACAGCTTTGAGAACATACTAGTCCTCCTCCTCCTGATCCTTCCTTAGCCAGTAGAGATGGCTGGGTCCTCTATGCTATAGCCTGGAGGATGGACACCCAGAAGAGAGAGTAGATCCAGGCTGGGGCACAAGCAGTGGGACTGTTTCTCAGGGCTGAGTGTGATGCGGCCATGCCAGGACCCTGGGAAGGGGGCAGGACACAGCACCTCTTGATTACTTGCATCACTTATGTGCAAAATATCCGTCAGCCATCCCATTCCCCAACTTGCTGAGAAGTATACAGAGAAGTGTATAGAGAAGACCGGAGAGGGAGGCTGCTGAGGGACTGGGAGCTGGGAGCTATGAGCTGGGGGTGGGGAAGGGGGGCAAATAGGCCTTATGCAGAGGAGAAATCTGAACCCTGAGGTTTACACAAGACCACAGCCATGCCAAGGAGATAAGTCAGGACCCCTTCCTGCCCCCATCTCCCTGGCTCCGCTACAAAGAGAAGGGCTCAGAACATCCATTGGCCTTTTCCCCATCCTCATGTGAATCATGAATTTTTCCCCTCCTGCTTGCCAAGAGCCCCTGTGTGGTAAACCACCGTCCTGGGGAAAGAGGGGGGTCCAGCAGCCGCTAGGCTGGGTCCAGCCCCCCTGGTGCCAGCTCCAAACTCCCAGAGACCATAGCTGCTCCCACTTTGGTGTGTTTGCAGTGTGATCTGGGTACAACATTTGCCCTCTTGGGACCTTAGTTAACCCCCTGATCTGTAGGGGACAAGGGGACAGTTCTTGTTCTACAAGAAACCAATGGCATTGTGTGTGTGTGTGTGTGTGTGTGTGTGTGTGTGCGCGCGCACACGCTTGCTTGTGTGTTTTTCCCCCCGCAGGGGCCACCAGGTGCTGTGGGAGAACCAGGCCTTCCTGGGGAAGCTGGGATGAAGGTAAGATGAGATGAAAGATGAGAAAAATGACTTGTTGAAACCAGCTCTCAGCTGGCAACGACATCTTCCATGGGGAAGAGAAATGGGCCTTTCTTGTGCCCAGGATAATGGGGTCTCTGTACTGCTGGCTGGGGAGCGGGGCCTGCTGTGGCCCCAGTGCCACGCTCAGCCATCCTGAGCCCCTGCCTAACAGCATTTTCTCTGGCACCTGCCCTGGCCACCCCTCCCAGACGTGTGATAGCATCTGTATCCCAGCTCCAGTGCCCCTCATTACCTGCTGGGAAACAGGTACCCATTGATACCTGGGCCCCGGGAAGAGCCCCTCCTGGTCCTGCACCCCATGCGGGCCTATGTGCCATGCTGACGCACAGTAAAACCCAAGTCCAGGGGAGCCAGCTTGAGGAGCTGTGGGACTTGGGGCTGAACACTTTCCCTGTGCCCATCTCCCTCCCATGAAGAGGGAGCTGCAACAGGCCTGGCACTGTTAGACCTGGCTTAGCTGTCAGATCCTTTGCTCAGTGAAGAAAAGCACCTGGTATATAAGCAAGGTAAAAGTGGATTATTCCTGTTGAGCCCAAGCTGGGGTTCTGGGATGACCAGGCTGCAAAGCCTGGAAATCCCCAGATGAGAAGGACTTTTGGAGCCCTCTCGGGAGATATAGTCAGACTTCCTTCCTATTGGGATTCTCACCAAGTCTCAAGGAAGAGTTAAAAAAAAAGGTGTTCAGTCAGAGTTGCCATGCTGCAGCTGATGTTTGTGGAGCCAAGCCACCGGGTTTGGATCCTAAAAGTGTCATCCTTCATCAGAGTACCAATGCCCCAGTCTTGGCTTCTTCCATTATCAAAGAACACCTTTCTTCAGGTCATTGGGGAAGTCAAATCGTCTCCATGCGACAAAGTTCTTACTACACCAGTGCATCTTTGGAGCCGAGGAGGGTGATGGTGATGGTAGTGATCATGATGGTGGTGGTGTTGATGAGGACAGTGGTATTGATGATGTGATGGTGGTGGTGAGGGGTGGGGGTGCTGGTGATGGTGATCATGGTGACGGTGGTAATGTTGATGACTAATGGTGGTGGATGATGTTGACAATGCTGATGATGCTGTGATGATAGTAATGGTGGTGGTGGTGGTGGTAGGTGATCATGGTGTTAATGTTGGTGGTGGTAGTGAGTGTGATCATGATGGTAGTGGTGATGGTGGTAGTATGATGGTGATGAAATTGATCTTGGTGATGGCGGTGATGGTAATGATGTGATGGTGGTGGTGGTGGTATTGGTGATGGTGGTGGGAAGGGTGATCATGATGACAGTAGTAGTAATGATATGATCATGGAGGTAAGTGATCATGGTGATGGTGTTGGTGATGACTATAGTAATGATAATGGTGGTGAGTGTGATCTTGATGGTGGCGATGGTGGTGGTGATTGAATGGGTGTGGTGATGATGATGTAATGGCGGTAGTAATGATGGTGGTGAGAGTGATCGTGGTGGTCGTCGTGATGGCGATAGTGAAGATGACAGTGATGGTAATGATGTGATGGTGGTGGTGAGTATGATCGTGTTGGTGACAGGACTAATAGTGGTCATGGTGATGGTGATCCTTCTCTTCTGGCACAGGAGAAACTCATGGGCAGGGCTGACTTGGAACAGGGGCTCTGGTTGGTGTTTTACAATTACTCTCTGGTCATTGAGAAGACATCTCCCCTTTCTGCCCTGAGTCAGAGCCAGAAAGAATGGCAAAGGCCGCAGCACCTGTGCCCCACCCCCATGTGGTTTGTGTTTGGCTTCTTCTAGGGTGACGTCGGGCCTCTGGGCACGCCTGGGGAGCAGGGCCTCATTGGTCAGCGGGTAAGTGGAAACAACTTCATTCTCCTTGGAAAGCCTCAGGGTGTGTGGGCTCAATGGGGAAGGGAAGAGCTTTTTTTTTTTTTTTTTTATTCACGAATCTCGGTTTCCTTGGTTATAGAGATAGACCAAGAATCTCTACATCTTTGTCTGGTCTTCCTTGGTGGCCAACATGTCCACATTTTGTAAGAGGGAAAGGCCACATGGCAAAGAGAAGAGCCTAGAAGCCTGAGATGGAGAGCTTGGCCTGACTTTTGTCCACTGTGCTTGATCAATAGTCTTGGAAGCTGTGTTAGGAAGGTTTTTGAAGGCCCCACTAGAAACTCAGCAGGCAAGAGAAGAGTTGTGCATCAGGCACATTTCTCATAGCACTGAGAGCACAGCAGTGAGTAGCAGAGGGCCTGACTCATGGAACTTGGGTCCTAATGGATCAATTAATGATGTCTGCCACAGGCATAGGAGGAGTAGAATCCACCAGCCTGACACATCTTGGCCATCAGCTCTTAAAGGTGGTGTCAGTCATGTGTTGCAGACAAACAGCAGATACCACGGGCACTTTAGCATTGGACATGCCCCTCAGACAGGTGGTATTGAGGCATATCCAATGGTAAAGCCAACTCCTACCCACTAGGCAGACCCACCACCCCAGTCCAAGCAGCAAGCCCAGATGTCATGTCTAGGCTATCCTTGGGACCAGCAAGATCTGGCCTATGATAATTATGTCGTTCCCCATCCCTGAGGATGTGTACCCCTGTGTGCTTGCCCCATGAGAGAGAGGGAGAGCATCCGGGATCTTCCTCACCTTTCCCTACTACCTTTCTAGGGAGAGCCAGGCCTGGAGGGTGATCTTGGTCCTGCAGGGCCAGATGGATTGAAGGTAAGTGCCCTCAAAGGCAAGGTCTAAGGGGGGGCCTCAGTCTTGGAGGGGGGCTTTCGGGGTACAAGATTGTTCAAGACTCAAGCTTCGTCCAGGCTACCAAGCTCCCTAAAGTACTGAAGTGGGCTGTGGGTCTCATGGAGAGTGATGGGGAGGGTCAGTGGCCAGTGGCCAGGGAGACTGAGTCAGAGGCTCAGTCTTTCACAGCATGACCAGGTTCTGTGCAGATCCCTTTGTGTGTATCACCACCGCCAGTGCCTCAGGTAAGTCCCACTTTTAGGTGAGGAAACAGATTCAGAGAGGTTTAGCAAGTTGTCAGAGAACACACACTAATATTGGCACAAACAGAAAGAACTGAAATCCAGGCCTGTCTGACTCCAAAGCCCAGATCTTTCTGTTCTACCATATACCTGTGCTGAAAGTGAAAAGACTAAGCTGGGCACTGGTGGCTCACATCTGTAATCCTAGCTACTCGGGAGGTTGAGGTCTGATGATTATGGTTCAAAGCCAGCCCCAGGCAGGGAAGTCCGTGACGCTCTTATCTCCAATTAACCACTTAAAAACTGGACGTAGAGCTGTGGTTCAGAATGGTAGAGTGCTAGCTTTGAGCAAAACAGCTCAGGTGACAGCATCCAGGCCCTGAGTTCAAGCCCCACAACCAACAAAAATAGAAAAGGAAAAGTGAAAAGACCGAGACTCTTAGGAAGGTAGAGTGGTGTTTACTCACTCAGAGACTGAGTACGGGGCCTGAAACTCAAACCTATGGCTCATAGTTATATTTGTTGGCTTCAATAAGCCCGTCTACCCCCAACCTGTTCGGGAACCTCCTCTGACTCCCATCTCTACCTGTGGCCTAGGCCTCCCAGGTGCCAGGACTTTCCCCAGGGAGGACCTTTCACACTCTCCCAGTTAATTCCTCACCTCATGTCCTCTTGTCCCTCACCATCTCTCCACAGGATCTCAGATAAGCACCCCCTTCTTTGAGCCTTGACTTCCCCATCTGCAGTCCCCTGCTCCCAATTTACCTCACATGCAACCCTCCCCAGTTTGGGGAGTTTGGCCAGTTTCCTAGGGAGCCTTAGTGACTGGCCCCTACCGGCTCTGGGTGCTTTCTTGAAAGGACACAAGAGCTCCCCCTATTGGCCACCTTTCTACCTGCTGCATCAGTGCACAGGTGCACCTGGGCCAGACCTCAGGAGCCTTTGATGGTCCACCCACAGCTAGTGACCACTGCCACGTGCTGTGCTGCAGTATACCTGCACCCCGAAGGGTGTGTGTGCTTGTGTGTGCCAAGCACCACCCACCTTAAGAACTTGATGGGCAGTATCCCATTATTCTATTCTCCCAGCCCCCTCCCAGCTAGAAACTTCAGTGTCCACATTAAGGTCACATCCCCACCTCCTCATCTCCCTCTGCGTGGCCGTTTTCTGTTCTTGGAGTCTTTGCTGAGTCTAATGCTTGACATCACAGTTGTTCTTCCTCTGCTTTTGCGTAGCCCTGGCTTTATCCTCTTGCATTTCCTCCAACCTTTGGCCTTGAATCAGAGTAGTTGCACTCAGGCATAGCTTCTTTGTTGGTCCTCCCATGAGTACCATTAGGCCATGATGCTCACCCAGGGACTGCCTCTCGGGGAGGCACAGCCTTTGGTGTTTCTTGCATGCTGTATGTCCAATACCTCTTCTGACGGTGGCAGCGTGGGTGCTGGTGGCCAGTAGCATTTCTCCTCCATCTAGTTGCTCATTGAGCATCTACAGGGCTTGTCCCCATCCAGTCCAACGTTGTGGTAGCCCTTGGGCCTCCCTTGACAAGTAAGGAAGCTTGCTGAAGGGTCCTGGCCATTGAGTGCAGTCAGGGGGTGTGGCCTGGAGGTGAGGGAGCTGCTGCCTCCCGTGTGCAGGGCCTGGAAGCTGGGTTCTCACCTGCTCTCTACCCCTGACTTCCTGCCAGCACTGGACGCCTCTGCCTCTCCAAGCCTGTTTTACCCTGTGTAGATTGGAGTGGTTGACTCAAGGCCCTTCTGAATATTGACTGAGGATTCCCCAAGGCTTCCAGAAACCCCTTGAAGCCATTGTTTGTGAGACAACCCGCAGTGACCCTCACCCAACTGGCTAGGAGCAGGCTGCGGGCTTTTCATCTCCCCATACTTACTGCCTGGCCACTTTGCTGCCACTGAATGCTGGGATAGCAGGTGGCCAGGGACGGCAAATCAGGAATGGCCTCCAGGAGCCCCAGGAGTCTGCGAGAAAGCCACTGGGGCCAGCCCCCATCTCCATACCATTTCCGCCTCGCTCTGTGGCATGGGCAGCTGTGGTGGGAAGGGACCTCGGAGAGCAGCCTGGTGATCTGGAATCTCTGCACCAGCCACACCGCTCATCTCTGTCCCCTTCTCCTGTGTGGTCTGTGGATGCCGAATGACTGATATTGCCCCAGGGTGGGCCATAGATAGCCCAGAGCTTCCTATGCCAGCCTCCAGCAGGCTGAGCCAGCCCTCAGGAGGAGCCTGCAGCAGTGGAGTTCATGAACGTCAGAGCTGTCTGGAGCCCAGCTCCAGCTCCGTCCCCTCTGGGAGCCGCTCTCTACCCTGCATGCCCCGTGACGACATCAGTGTCCCCTGTCATGTGTGATGCCACACTCTGATTTCCCAGACTGCTCTGCGGCCCTTCCCCTCCGGTGTGCCTGGACTCATGCTCTCTTCCTCTTCCGGCCTCCCTGAGCTGGCATTGCTGAGCCACGTGGGGATTTGCCATAGGCCCTGCCCACACGGCCCTTGATGCACACCTCCCTGCCTGAAGCAGCACTGCCTGAACTTGAACTTCACCTGCCCACCTGCCACACAGAAGACGGCTAGGTGCAGGACCACGCAGGGAGACGTCTGTGGTTGTTTTGAAGCCCTGTACGAAGGGAGAACCATGGAACACCTGTACCTTTGGCTCTCCAAACCCATGACAGGGGTCCACTTGCACAGACAGACCCTGGAGTTCCCAATCCTGTGAAGACCTTGTGGCATCCACCCCCTCCACCCCTTACCTTTCCAGAGAGCTTCCCTCACTAACCGCTTACAGTGAACTGGCCAGTGTCTATTCCCGGCTACAGATTTCAGCCCTACTGCGAGGAGGTGGGGGGACTGGAAGCTAGATCACTGCACAGCTCTGCCTCACTTTCCCTGTCTGTGAAATGGGCCCAAGAGTAGGCTTTCAGGAGCACACACTAAGTCGGCGAGCACAGACAGAGTGCGGTTCAGGTAGGGGAAAGAGTGAGTGCCACACACCATCCACTGGTCAGAGAAAGCATCCTCCTGGCCACAGCACCGCCATGCAGAGCAACGGTGACCACAGGAAGCAGGCTGACCCGGGGCCTTGCGCCCTAGCGGCCTCGCTCACCACGGAACAGCTCCTTCACCCGGCATGCCTGCACTGGCCTGCTACATGGCGGCCGGCGGTTCCTCCCTATCCATCATTATCACTGGAAACTGCAAGCAAGGATCCAAAAGGCAACTCTGGTTTTAAGAGATCCCATGGGGACATGAGCCCCCATGCCAGCCCCAGCCTTTCAGCAGCTCTGGGGAACACCAGAGACCCTGGCTGGGAGGTGGAGGGGCAGGGAAGGCGGCCTCTACATGCCTTCGGAGATTTGGGGTTCTTATGAGCCTGGTGATTCATCTGTTCTCTCTGTCCTCCTCCTTTTCTTGTTCTCCCAACTCAGGGGGACAGAGGCGACCCAGGGCCTGACGGTGAGCGTGGTGAGAAAGGCCAGGAGGGGCTGAAGGGTGAGGACGGCCCCCCCGGGCCTCCGGGGATCACCGGCATCAGGGTGAGTGTTCAGGCCGCTGCCCACACTGGGGCCGTGGGCTCAGCAGACATGCGCGCTTTCCTGCACCACCTACACAGTCCTCTATGAGAGGTCCTCCTCTGCCAAGGAGTTTGACTCAAAACGAGTCTTGTCTCTCTTACTCTGCCTTCCAGGGATCCCTCCACACCCTCAAAATAACCTTTGCTCCCTGCACAAACCTGGCTCCTGTGTCCTTACCTACCTGTGCATCCAGTCACATGCACCCACCCATGCTGTTTTCCTGAGCTCTGTAGACAAACCATGTTTCTCACCCCTGGGCCTTTGCACGTGCTCATCCCCCTGTCTGGGACTCCTGCTCTTTCTTGTTCCCCTGTCATCTGCTGCACTCTGAATTCCTTCAGCTGTCACGATAGACAGCACCTACACCAGAAAGCCAGCCCTGACCCCAAGCTAGGCCTTGGGCCTCCAGGACCATTTGCCTAGTACACTAGCTCTGTTTGTTTAGTTCTTCCCTCACACCCTTACACAACTATGTTCCCCTGAGATTGAATCTGACCCCCTGCCCTTGAGGTACCCAGGGAAGGACAGGGCTGCCCTGTTTCTTTGTCTACACATGCCCTGCTCAGCACTCTCCCGCGTGTTCCTTCTTTGATGGGGATGCAACCCCAAGGACTTAGAGAATCAGAGAGGCAGGGGAAACTACCCAGGGCCACACAGTAACGAATAACAGAGCTGCTTAAGATTTCAGGGCCCGGGCAGGGGGCCGTGAGAATGGCTGGGCGGCAGGTAGAAGGCATATTTGGTTGTCATGGAATCTGACTCCGTAGTGGGGCCGGGTGGAATGGGATGTGTGTGGCCTGGGACCATGGAGACAAGCCGCCCCAGTGAGGGCCTACGGGCATCCACCCTGAGCCAGCTGGGCACAGGACCCTGCCGCGGCAGCCGGTCTCCCTGGCCAGACATTTCCTTCGGCCCCTTGCCCCCCGCCTGCCCTGGCCGGGCTGAGATTTGTGTTGTTTCCCGTACTTCATTCAGCCTGCTCTGGACATTCTTTTTCCCTCCGGAGTGTTGAAATGACTAACTTGGAACCGAGCCAAATTAGCAGGCAACAAAACTGCTGTGGGAAAATATGCCTCCTAAAAATAGAATTGAAGCGCTAAGCTGTCTCGGTAGCCAAGACAGAGTGAGATCCCCACACAGCTAGAGGAGGAGACGGGCCGTGCACACACACGTTCCCTGACGGAGGCTTCCCCTTGCTCAAAGTCAGCCCTGGGCCCACGCGTACCAGGGGGAGTTCCGCGGAGCAGAGCTGGCTCCCTGGTCCCTTGCTGCGTGGCTTTTCCTTTGCCTCCTGCCCTCTCTGGTCTCTGGAGGCCATGGTGATGGTGGCGGCGGCGGTGGGGACAGGGGTGGCGATGGGGGTGGTTGTGATCATGAGCCGGTGACCATGGTGGTGGAGGGGTGATGATGGTGATGGCGACCATGATGCTGGGCAGTGGCGTGGTGGCGGTGGTGCTGATGGGGTTGTGCTGGCATGGTGGCTGGGTCAGGGCTGGTGTCTTGTCACTCCCAGTCCTCCTGGTTCAGCTTGGCACGAGTCTCTCGAGGCTGTGAGGGCCTGGGAAGGGTTCAGGGACCTGGGTTTTCCTTTCACCTGTGTCTCCAGCCTCGGTTTCCCGTCCTCAGGACTCCGGGGTTATGTGTCACATGATGCCACATGTGTCTGTACGGGGACGGGCGGCCTCACGAAGTCACACTGTCTCAGTTGCACACGCGTGCTCCCAGGCTTGCACGCTCACAAGGTGCCTGAGCCATCCCCATCATTAAGTGATGTGTGGCGATACACACTTCGGGCCCGGCAAGTCTCCGACCCAGCCGGAGGGAGCCGTCGGGACAGTGGGTGCCCTGTCCCTGGGCAGACCTGGCTCTGCCCCTCTGACCCCACGCCCAGTGCTTCAGTGCCCACTGGCCTTTCCTCCAACAAGAGGTCGGTCAGCTGCTGCTGTCGTCTCCGTCCGGCAAGTTCTTCTAGCCAGTTAGAGCGCCCCCAGGCCAAGTCTCCAACCAGCAACGCGCCTCAGTGTCTTTAGACCTAACCCCCTCCTCCCAACACCGTGTGTTAGAAAACTGGAAGCGAAAGGAACAGGCAAGAACCGGTTATTGAGGCACAGCGGGGGGCAAGCAACCTTTCCTTGGGAAGAAGGTGGGGTTGGAGTTAGGCTTTTATGGAGTCTGAGCCAGGACACAAAGGTTATGGAAAAGGTTATTAGGGCTGGGGGAGGTAGAGGCTTTCAGTTAGGCCCACAATGGAATGTGTACGGCCAGGCTTAGGTCCGATTGCCCTGCCTGTGTCAGGCACGTTCGTGCATACCTGGGCTTTTGTCTGAATTCCGTGTGCACCTGGATAATAGGGTGGAGGTGTCAATCCTTCACCACTGAGCTCAAAGCGGGGCTTATGTAGCGGAGCACACAGCAGCAGCCTGACCCGCAGTGAAGGCTGTGAGGATGGTTAGTGTTTGACCATGTTTAGTGTTTTACTACGGAGAAAGCAAGAGAACTTGACATTGCTCAGCTTGGCACTGCCTGTTAGGAACAGAGTCCGCCATGTATGGGATTTAAAATTCTCTAGTAGCTACCTTTTATAACAATAAGAAGAGACAGGGGAAGTTCATTTTAATATCCTATTTCCCTCAACCCACGAGGTCCACAATATTATTTCAGCATGAAATTGATAGTAAAAATTCACCAAGAAGAGCTTTTACCTTTTCTATTTTGCACTAAGTCTTTCAGATCCAGTGAGTATTTCTCCTAACAGCACCCCAGTTCCGATGAAAATTCTTACTGGAAATACTTGATCTGTGTGTAGCTTTCATATAATGTATAGAAAACGTAAGCCGGGTGCTCGTGGCTCACGCCTATAATCCTAACTACCCAGGAGGCTGAGATCTGAGGATCATGGTTCAAAGCCAATCTGGGCAAGAGACTCTGTGAGACTCTAATCTCCAACTAAGCAACAAAAAAAGCTGAAAATAGAGCTTATGTGGAAGAATGCTAGCCTTGAGTTAAAAAGAAAGGCAAGGTCTGAAGAGCCAGGGGCAGACGTGTCGTGTCTCATAAATGTGCCTTGATTGCCTCCGTTCTTTTCTTCCCTTGTCCCCCCTCAGGGTCCAGAAGGAAAACCAGGGAAGCAGGGTGAGAAGGGCCGGACTGGGGCCAAGGTAGGTCCGCTGTCTTGCTGTGATGGTTCGAGACCCTCCTCCCGCGTCCCTTCCTCACACACCCTCCGGCAGGGCTGCTGACAGCCTGTTCTTCTCCCACCGCAGGGTGCCAAGGGCTACCAAGGACAGCTGGGTGAGATGGGCGTCCCTGGAGACCCAGGACCCCCAGGGACCCCAGGCCCTAAGGGGGCCCGAGGCAGCCTGGGACCCACGGTGAGGACGCTGGCTGAAAAGGGAGTCAAGCACGGCATAGAGGGGACCCAGAGAGGAAGGGAGCAGCAGGCATCTCTGTAAGGCCACTTCCACCCCAGCTGGTAGCTGATGCCCCCCTTGCTCAGTCCCAGCCGCCTCATTTTAATCATGGGTGTCATGACAAAAATGTGCATCCTGCTGGGCGCTGGTGGCTCACGCCTGGAATCCTAGCTGCTCAGGAGGCTCAGATCTGAGGATTGCAGTTGGAAGCCAGCCCACGCAAGACAGTTTGTGAGACTCTTATCTTGAATTAGCCACCAAAAAACCAGAAATGAGACTGTGGCTCAAAGTAATAGAGCACTAGCTTGAGCAAAAAACAACAACAAAAAAGCTCAGGGACAGCACCCAGGTCCAGAGTTCAAGCCCCATGACTGACCCACCTCCCGAAAACAAAAGAATGTGCAGTGTGCATCCCCTCTGAACACACCAGATAGACAAACAGACAAAACAGTTGCTGCCATGTGAAGGGCCCTCCCTTGGAGGCAGTGAAAAGCCCAGACTGTTGGGGACAGTGTGAGGTTCTTGGGGACAGTGTGAGGTTCTTGGGGACAGTGTGAGGTTCTTGGGGACAGTGTGAGGTTCTTGGGGACAGTGTGAGGTTCTTGGGGACAGTGTGAGGTTCTTGGGGACAGTGTGAGGTTCTTGGGGACAGTGTGAGGTTCTTGGGGACAGTGTGAGGTTCTTGGGGACAGTGTGAGGTTCTTGGGGACAGTGTGAGGTTCTTGGGGACAGTGTGAGGTTCTTGGGGACAGTGTGAGGTTCTTGGGGACAGTGTGAGGTTCTTGGGGACAGTGTGAGGTTCTTGGGGACAGTGTGAGGTTCTTGGGGACAGTGTGAGGTTCTTGGGGACAGTGTGAGGTTCTTGGGGACAGTGTGAGGTTCTTGGGGACAGTGTGAGGTTCTTGGGGACAGTGTGAGGTTCTTGGGGACAGTGTGAGGTTCTTGGGGACAGTGTGAGGTTCTTGGGGACAGTGTGAGGTTCTTGGGGACAGTGTGAGGTTCTTGGGGACAGTGTGAGGTTCTTGGGGACAGTGTGAGGTTCTTGGGGACAGTGTGAGGTTCTTGGGGACAGTGTGAGGTTCTTGGGGACAGTGTGAGGTTCTTGGGGACAGTGTGAGGTTCTTGGGGACAGTGTGAGGTTCTTGGGGACAGTGTGAGGTTCTTGGGGACAGTGTGAGGTTCTTGGGGACAGTGTGAGGTTCTTGGGGACAGTGTGAGGTTCTTGGGGACAGTGTGAGGTTCTTGGGGACAGTGTGAGGTTCTTGGGGACAGTGTGAGGTTCTTGGGGACAGTGTGAGGTTCTTGGGGACAGTGTGAGGTTCTTGGGGACAGTGTGAGGTTCTTGGGGACAGTGTGAGGTTCTTGGGGACAGTGTGAGGTTCTTGGGGACAGTGTGAGGTTCTTGGGGACAGTGTGAGGTTCTTGGGGACAGTGTGAGGTTCTTGGGGACAGTGTGAGGTTCTTGGGGACAGTGTGAGGTTGTAACAAGGAGGCTCCCCGGTGGAAACACAGCCACAGATTTAGGGTACAGTGTATATCAGGTTCCCAGATACCTCGCGGAGTAGCCCAGGGGCTCGGGGGTGACCAGTGGGGCTGAAAAGGTTGACCTGGTGGCTCTGAGCCCTGCCATGCTGGCAGGAACCTCTACGATGCCCATGGTGGAGACACTCCCACCATGGCCGATACCCTGTCAATCACTTGGCACTATCTGTGGGGGCAGGGAGGCAATACATGGCATCATTTAGGCAGTGCTCCTCTTCCCCCCCTACCTCCACCCCAAGTCCCAAATAGTCTCATGAGCACAGGTAATAGCTGTAGTAGAAGGATTGGGAAAGGATGTCTTGTCTATATTATCTTCGTTTTTAGTGACACTGATAGAACTTTGGGTCCATGAAATTTCAATTGGGTAGCAGCTCCGTTTAAGTCATACCTGTGTCCACGAACCACCAGAGTTGGGAGAAGGGAGGGCTGGGGGGGCACAGAAAGAGAAGGCGGGGGATCCTACTAGTTTTCCACCTGCTGCTCCTTGGGCAGTGGAAGGGGTGCCAGGCTGCTGGGGAGAATGTTGCTGCTGTGAACCACACACACCAATGAGGGTCTTCTCCTTTCCCAGGGTGCTCCAGGACGGATGGGGTCCCAGGGAGAACCTGGACTGGCTGGTTACAATGTAAGTTCCCCCACCCCTCTCTGGAACTCTGTCCCAGAGCCCCCTCCCAGCTGTGTGTGACCCCTGGGGCATGTAGGGTACCATGGATGGTGGAGGAGGGTGGCAGGCACAATGCCACCCCCAGTCCCAAGCCTTCCTTCCTATGCTGTTGGGTGTTCCGGATGCCTAGTGTCACAGCGCCCCCTGTGGAAGAAGAGACCAGCCTAGGCCTGAGGAGGATGTACCCCATGGATGGTCCCTCCTTAGAAGTGGCTGAGCTGCCCCTTGTTCCATACCAGATAGACCCAGCTTCAGAGAGGCTAGGACTGGTCAGAAAGGGAAACTGAGGCTCAAGGCTGTTAGAGCTCATGGTGAGGCCTGGGAGCTTGCAGTGTTGGAGAGTGAAGTCTGAAAGAGTCCTATGAGGGAGGAAGAGAAAGGAAACAAGAACAGGCCAAGGAACCCGGGAGGGGGGGGAGGGGGGGGGAGAGAGAGGAGGCCAGGCCCAGGAGCCACTGGCTCCTATAACAGGGCAGCACAGCAGAGCCCCAGCCACTCAAGTAGGCACACCCCATGGAGTGGGGGAGGCGAGGAGGGACCTGAAAGACCTGTCTAGAAGGCCAGGACCCACGAGACACAGGGTTTGTTGAACCACAGAGCAAATTGGGACAGACCCTGGAGCCCCTGTGTCCAGCCCCACTGTGTGCAGCTGAGTTCCTGTCCTCTGTTCGAGTCCTCGCTTGCCCCTCACCTCTCCGTTTTGTTTATCTGCAGGGACACAAAGGTGTTGCAGGACCGCTCGGGCCTCCTGGGCCAAAAGGAGAGAAGGTAGGTGTTTGGTCTCAGGGAGGCAGATGGACCATGCTGTATGTGGGGTCCTTGTGCCAGAAGTAGCTTGGAAGGCTCAGGACGGCTTGTACCTGCTCACCCCACGGTTGCCTGGAGCCAGCCCTGAGGTCAGAGCCCCCAAGGCCTAATGTGCTATGAGATGCATTCTCATCACTATGTGTCATCTCTGCCTGGACCTGGGGCAAAACTGATCCATCCCTGCCCTTTGGGGCTCTGGGTCACTCAGAAGAAATGGATATCCATCATATATTGGCCAAGACTGTGTCATCCCTGCAAACACTGGCATTGCGCCTTGCATGTGGATGAGGTCACCCAGAGTGAGCCAGAAGGAATGCCAGGGACAGGTGAGGGCTTGAGAAGGAGCCGGCACTGCCAGGCATGGAGTGCCCGCCAGCTCAGCCTTCCTCACCCTCCCCGCGTCTCGCAGCTCAGACGCCCTCTAGTGGGCCTCAGCCTGCCGAGTCAGCTCGCCACTCACTGAACCCCACTGTGGGTGAGTCATGTTGGCTTGGTTTTCCTGTCCCATGGCCCCTCCTCCTGCCTGGAGGGGTGCAGACCCATGTCTAGGCCCTGACACAATCCATAGGAGGCCACTGAAAATGCCACTTCATGCCTCCTCAGCCCTTGGAGCCTGCAGGGGCTAGCACAGGGGTAACAATCCCCAAAGCTCAGTGGAGCTAATGAGCCCCAGGACCAGAAGTGGTGCTAGTGGCTGTGAGAATGTCCCCATCTTCCCAGTGGGTGAGTGTTATGTCATTCATGCTGAGCCCGACAGTATGTGTGTCCACACGCTCTCAGCCACGAGGTCCTATTACATCCTCGTTCATTCCTTGGCTTCCTAGACTAGTATGTTCCAGGCCCGGGACCGCTGCCCAGCCCAGCTCCAAAATAGAAACCCAATCATGCATTGCTTAGTGACAGGGATTATAAGAACTGCCATGTTCAGGGATTTCATCTTTGTGGGAACAGCCTACAGAGTATGGACACAAATGAAGACAGACATCCGGTCACCGGATGACATACCCCATGGGAACACCGCCATGGTGGTGGCTCATGACTGTCCCCTGATGACCAGCTCACCACAGGCTGGACAGTGTTTGGAGGGAGGGCAGGCTGCTGAGGGCTGGGGAGAGGGGAGTTCTCCCCCCAGCCCTCACCTCAACCCCAGCCCGAGGCTGCCATAGACATGAGAGGTGGGGACATGCCGGTGGTGGCAAGGTGCCTGTTGGGGGTGATCTGGAGGGCTGGTTTTGAACTTTGGTTCCTAAGTGGCCTTATCTGAGATCCTGCCTTCCTGGGGCCTCAGTTTCCCCATCTGTGAAGTGGAGACAGCAGCTTAGCAGCAATAAGGCAGCTATACAGAGTCTTGACTAAGTGCCTGGCACACAAAATATAGGTAAACCCAGGCTCCTGGCCCAGTGCAGCCCCGCCCCCAGGCACCTGCCATCCCCACAGTAGGACTGAGAGATGAATCATCAAGCCAGGGGCAGGAGAGAGAGTGCCATTCCCTAGGCCATCCCTTGGGTTCACAACTGGTTCTGGGCTTGGACCGAGTCCTGCTGAGCCCCAGCCAAGGTGGCCTGGTGCCACACCTTAGCCTCCCTGGCCAAGCAGTGCTCTAGGCCCAGACAGTTCACTGTCTCCTGTTCCCTAGGGCTGCCTCCCATCTCTGAGGGCCACAGGGGGGCTCAGGTGCCCTTGCTAGAATCCCTTGGCCAGAATAGCTCACAGGAGAGGTGATACCAGTTTCCTGGGATTTGAGTCTCTTCGGCCCTGAGGGCTATCCTGTGTTGTTCTGCTTAAATCTTTCTCATGGAAGGGGGAAACAGGCATGGGTCCTGCAGCAGGACCAGGGCCTAAGCTGGCCTCTCCCTCCATCCCATCCTGGCCACATGTGTGTGACACATGGCCACTGTCATCACTATTATTATTACAGTTGCAATTTCAGTGGCTGTCCACCGGGTCATTCTCGCAGGCAGCCACTGGCCAGGGGTCCACGGTGCCTTCCAGAGCATTCTTGGCTGAAGAGTACAGCATCACCAGGCATCCTGCCGTGCTAGGCACCAAGGAAATTGTCATATAGATGAGACCCCGGCTGCTGAGAATCACTTGGTGATCCCAGGCCTTCTCTGGGGCTCCTGAGGAAGACCAGGGTCCTCAGACATTTCCTTTCTCCCAGCCAGGACCACAGAGCAGCTCCCACGGTCTCCCCAGGCCTCATGCCCAGCGCAGTGAAGGAGCTGTGTGGAGCTCGCTGCTCTGCTCTGCCCCATCATGCCCACCAGTGCTGGGCACTGTGCACATTCATCACTCAGCTATCATTCCCCTCCTCTCCCTCACTGGGAGAAGGGGTGCAGAGTCTGGTGGGAACATTGTGGGTTCCCCAGCAGGTTCCATGTAGAGCGAGGTGGACCCTCTGATGCCCAGATCTTATTTGGGGGGGCTGGGCTGGCATGCCCAGTGGTATAAGGTATAGAATGCCTGTCTCCCCTGTCCAGGTGCCACCTTCTCCTGAGTCTTTTCTCTTTTTCCCTCTTTCTCTCTCTTTCTGGCCTCCATCTCCTGTCTCCTGGTAAAAGCCCAACTCCCCAGGGTAGGCCTTTTGTCTAAAGTTGGTTCTGTGTCCGCAGGGGGAACAGGGTGAGGACGGCAAGGCCGAGGGGCCCCCTGGGCCACCTGGAGATCGGGTAAGGCCCCTTCCATCTTCTGGGTTGTGTGGGGTCCCAGGTGGAGCCTGGACCTCCAGCTGTGTGGACCTGGGCAGCAGGCAAGAGGAGGCTGTAGAGCCCCACTGACTGTGTTGTCCTTGTTCAGGGACCTGTGGGTGATCGTGGAGAGCGTGGGGAGCCCGGGGACCCTGGATACCCTGTAAGTATCGAAGCTCCGTGGGTTGGCAGGATCAAGAGTGACATAAGAAAGGGAGGCCAGCTTGTATTAGGTCACATGCCCGTCCCCTCCCTGCACCCCCAGTGCCTGGCCACAGTCATATCATATCCCTACAGAGGGCAGACTTCCATCCCTATAGCAAGAAGAGGCTGAAATCTTCCTGAGGAACAGACAGGGAGGCTGAGATGTCCAGCTTCGGGTAGTGTCTGCTGGCAATTTCCTCCTCAGGTGGCCCTTCCTTCTGAAAGCCTCAGTTTCCCCATTTGTGGTTGAGAACAGCCCTCCCAGTAGAAGCAGTGACAAGCCATTGGACACACTGGGCTTCCCCGCCCCCTGCCCCCCCCCCCACCGCCACCGCAGCCGCTTCCAAGCAGGAAACAGAGTCAGAGAGATCACGACATGGCCAGGAGGAATAGGAGCCTCCAGGGCTCTTGCCGTAGCCCCCAGGCCCCTCCAAGATGGATGGTCTTACCTCTTTCTCCTTGGCTTCCAGGGACAAGAGGGTGTTCAAGGCCTCCGAGGAAAGCCAGGCCAGCAGGGCCAACCCGTGAGTGTGACTTCCTGTCCAGCGTCCTCTTATGCCCCCAGAGGGGGAGGGGGATAGAGCAGTGGGAAAAGAACTGGTCCCTTTAAGGCTTAAAGGGACCTGCTCTGCAGGCCCTGGGGAGGCAGCCCCTTCTGGTTTCTCCTGTCCTCACCCCTGGGGCTCCTCCCCAGAGTCTGCACCCCCAAACCCCTCCCCACCCCTCCCCCTCCAGGCGGAGACTGACCACCCTTCCCCGGGAGAGAATCCTGGGGCTGCCTTGCGTCATCTCACCTTGGTTTGCAGGGGCATCCGGGACCCCGGGGGAGGCCGGGACCCAAAGGATCAAAAGGCGAAGAGGTGAGAGGTTTGGGTGTTCACCAGGAGGCTGAGGTGGGGAGAAAGTCTGGCTCCAGGTCACATGGCAGACCCAAAGCAGAGCTGGAAACAGCCAAGCTCCAACGGACATCTCATAACCCATCGTTCTGAGGCTCCGGGAACGGAACTGCTCATCTGATGCCACCCAAGGGGCCTTGAACTCGGGGCAGCCATGAGCCAAATATAACCTGCCCACTATACCACCATTGTGACAGAAAAACAGAAGGGGAGTGAGGGTCTGCAGAAAGACCAGCGGGCAGGCCCTGGACTCTAGCTCTGAGCAGTGCCCATGACTGGGTGGTGGCCAAGGCAGGAACACAGGACCCCGAGCAATGCGGGGTCACAGGCAGCCCTGGGCTTTGAGGCCAGTGTGCTCAGCGCTCTTGCAAGTCAGACACTCACTTAGGGCACAAGGTCCTCCTCCAACCTCCCTCCAGGGCTCCTCCAACCCTGCTCCTCCTCTAGGCAGCCTCCCACATGTGGCCTTGCTTTTGTTTTCCCAGGGTCCAACTGGAAAGCCAGGCAAGGCTGGGGCTCCAGGCCGGAGGGGGATGCAGGTGAGTGATGGCTGCCTCCTTCCCACCTACCTCCTGCCCTTTCCCAGAATCCCTCACGGGCTTCTTATGTACCCTAGGGGCCACAGGGGCTGCCTGGACCCCGGGGCGTGGTAGGGAGACAGGGCCCTGAGGGCATCGCTGGACCAGATGGACTTCCTGGCAGGGATGGCCATGCAGGACAGCAGGTGAGCCGGACTGGCTGAGGTCAGGGATACTTCCACGAGCCAGAGGGGCTCTAGTTGGGAAAATGAGATGGGGCAGAATGAGCATGGACAGACAGACTGTTCCTGGGATGCGGGGAGGTAAGCGGTTACCTCATCCTTTGGGACCTGGGAGTACAGGCTTCTCCCGGCCTGCCCTTGATGCCAGAGCTCGGGCTACTGAGCTCATCCCCTGACTGGTAGGCGAATGGAGCCCTTGTGTTTAAGGTCCTCCCTGTCCTCACTCACAGACCCTCAGCTCGCCTCACCTGCCCCTCACCCACCTCAGCCAGCTTCCTTCCCTCCTGGCCCCATGGTTCACTCAAGCCCCAAGCCAGCTGCCTTCATGGCTGCCTGTTTCCTGAAGCACAAAAGACTTCCCTTTCCCTCCCTCCCACACACGCACACCTTTCGCCTACTTCCTTCACAGGGAGCGCAAGGAGATGATGGGGACCCTGGCCCCCTGGGTCCTGCTGGGAGGAGAGGAAACCCAGGAGTCGCTGGCTTGCCTGGCGCACAGGGGCCCCCAGGATTCAAGGTCAGACTCTGCTTCATCACTTACCACCCTTTCTGCCTTGGGAGGGATGATAAGGGTGCTGATTCTTGAAGCACCCATCTCCCAGGGCCTGTGTGAAAATGGACCCCACGCCGTGGACTTTTCTCAGGGGCTGTGCCCCAATCTTGCCCCAGACTTGAAGAATGGTTATCCTAGAAGCCAGCCACTGTTCCTAAGTTGTCCACAGGCGCCCTCTCTTGGGCATTTATGGAACTGCAGGTGGCTTGCTTGCCCCTAGCCTGTTAGAAAGCTTCCTTGAACTCCTGGTGCAAGAGGCTGCTTTGAACCAGGATTGAACCCTGAAGAGAAGATGTAGGTGAAGGACTTGAACTGGAGATCCAGTTGGGGAAAGGTTGAAACCATTTGTAAGTACAGCAGGAGGAGGGGCAGGTAGCATTTGGCCTTGCAAAGATTTGACAGCTGGGAGGAGCAATGTGAGGAGCAGTTACACCTAAGTGGTGTATTGGGAGGCCAAGCGGGAGAGAAGAGGGGATGCCAGAGTCAGAAATGGAGCCTCTCGGGACTCATATTAGCCTACCACCCCCTCAGGCCTCCCCATCCCGAGATCTGGAGGGCCCCTGTAGAATTTCTTCTCTGTTGTTCCTAGGCCCCCTCCCTCTGCTCCACCCCCAACAAGCTGGTAATTTGGGTGTCTTTCTTTAAGGGTGAAAGTGGATTACCTGGGCAGCTGGGTCCTCCTGGTAAACGAGGGACAGAGGGCGGAATGGGTCTTCCTGGAAGCCAGGGGGAGCCTGGATCCAAAGGGCAGCCGGTGAGTGAATCCTGGACATACACATGCTCCCACACTCAAGCATACACCCACAGGCACACACAGACACACTGACCAGACCCACCACACACATGCAGATGAACACACAAACAAAACACTCACGTTCATACATGTAAATGCAGACTGAGAAGCCACTTATCCAACAGAGTCGTAAACCAGCTACTGTTCACCCTCCCCTGAATGGAGTGGTGGGAGGGATGCATTCCTTCAGGACAGGAGAGGACCATGGCCAAAGGACCACAGCCAGAATCCAGACTCTGTGCACTTCTGAATGGTGGTCCTGGTCACATTGCCTTCCTCCTTGCTTCTCTCCCAAGGACTCTCTGCACCTTTACAACCAGAAGAATAGGGAACAAAGAACAGAAGGGAAAATAGAAAAAAAAACTAGTAACTGCCTCAGTTGCCCCAACTTCAAACAGATTTTTAATTTAAATATCTGAAAAAGCAAAACCCAACTATACACTGCCTCAAGAAACCTACTTTAAATATAAAATGGCAAATAAGATGGAGAGAAGCTATGGAGGAAGATACTCTATGCTAACACTCATCAAAGGAAGCCAGGAAGTGTGCTCAATATCAGAAAAGAAAGAAGAAGGCAAGTAGAGAAGAAAAGACTATGAACATAATAAAGAAGATCATTTCATAATGATAAAGATCTTAAGCAGAAATTGGTAGAACTACAAGGAGAAATGGGTAACTAGAACTACAGTTGGAGAAGCCAGTCCATCTCTGTCAGTCATGGGTGGAAGATCAGTAAGAATATAGAAGACTCAAATACCACCACTACCAATGGGACGGGACCTACCTGATTCTGTAGCACATGGGGTCCCATGTCAGCAGGGTGCAGGTACCCTTCACATGCATGGAAAATACATGCCAGGATGGAACAGATGTGGGGCTTTAAAAGACACAGTCTTAATAAACTCATAAATGATTCAAGTACACAAAGGATCATAATGAGACAAAAAGATCAAAATCACGGTTTAGAATGTCATGAAGGTCTAAATGACCACAAGTAAAGAAGTTGAAAGGGTGATCGCTATTTTGGATTGAAAGAAAGTAATAACATAGTATGTCAAAATGGATGGATGTCACTCCTGCATCTGTTTAGGACACAAATCAACAGAATAAAGAAACTAATGAAGATCAGACATTTTTTTCAATCAAAGAAAATGATAAGCAAAAGGAAAGGTTGGTCTCTTTGAGGAGATTAATAGAAACTGATAAACCTCTAACCTCCAGATTTCTTGGTGAAAAAAATGAAAATATATAAATTCCTAATATTAGAGATGAGATAGATGGTATTTACCACTAAAGATAATACACATATTGAAAGCATAATAAGCTGTGTGCCAATGGCTCACACCTGTAACCCTAGCTACACAGGAGGCTGAGATCTGAAGATCACAGTTCAAAGCCAGCCCCAGCAGGAAAGATCATGAAATTCTTATCTCCAATTAACGAGCAATAAGCCAGAAGTAGAGCTGTGTCACAAGTAGTAGAGTACTAGCCTTGAGCAGAAAAGGCTCAGGAATAGTCCACAGGCCTTGAGTTCAAACCCCAGGACCAGCACCAAAAGAAAAAAAGGATGCTAGAGCAAGATCAAGTAGAATGTAATAATGGTATCATATTTGAAAATATTAAATAATACTGATAAACTGAAAAAGAAAAGCCACATAGTCAGACAATGCTGGAAAAGCACTTGACAAAGATCCAGTTCCATTTCTGACTTTTAAAAATTCTCACTGGGCATAGTGGTTCATGCCTGTAATCCTTGCTACTCAAGAGGCTGAGATCTGAGGATCATAGTTCAAAGGCAGCCTGGGGAATTAACCACCCCAAATCCAGAAGTAGAGCTGTGGCTCAAAAAGTAGAGTACCAGTCTTGAGCAAAACAAGCTAAGGGACAGCACACAAGTCCCAAGTTCAAGATCTAGTACTAGCACAAATTTTAAAAAGAAAAGAAAAGAAACTCAGCAAATGAAGTATAGAAGGAATTTAGCAAGGAACCTGGGTGGAACTCCCACAGAAGTTTAGAAAGCAACACTGTACAATACCATTTAAAAAAAAATGCATAGAGATCCACCTGATATTCGGTTCACAATAGCAGAGCTCTGCTCCTACAGAGCAGCCCCGAGGAGTCCCTGAGCTGGGTACTGCCTGCTCATCCAGCAGAGGGCGCCAATTCCTGTCTGCTCAGCACCCTCTGGGGCCCGGCTCCACTCACCCCTTCTCATCTTGTTCTCCCTGCAGGGCAACTCTGGTGAGATGGGCTTTCCAGGAGTGGCTGGCCTGTTTGGACCCAAGGTACCAACTCCTGCCTCTCCGCCCCCCCCCCACCCCCGTGTTTCTGTGGAGTCTCGTCCATTACCCTCATCCATTCATTGGTTCATTTCCAAAGTCTTGATGGAGCCCCGGTGTTGGGCCGGCAGCAGGGTGCGCTCCGTGAAGGCGCTCAGCCAGCTCCACCCTTTCCCTGCTCTGCGTCATTGTGTCTCCAAGCCTCAGTTTCAGACCCAGTAAAATGTAGAGAATAGCAGTTGAGGATTGTTGAGAAATCAGGACCAGGGCTGTATACCATCTTGTACCCAGCTGGCACATAGCTGGAGCCCAACTGCTAAACAATTGGGGCTTTTGTTGCTCTTCCTGGGGCCTCAGGTAAGGCCATTCTTGACTGGGAGGATGCAGGTCCACCAGAGCCTAGGTGTAAGGGGGGGCTCCTGGCCTTTGCCCAGTGGTCATCTAGACATAGACAGCATACCTGTGTTTTCCACAGGGACCCCCTGGAGACATTGGCTTCAAAGGCATCCAAGGCCCTCGTGGGCCTCCCGGCTTGATGGTGAGTCCTCTCCGGTCCCAACAGCGACAGGTGCCCAGGCCCAAGGCAGATGCCTGTCCTCCTCCTCCTCCTTCACTCTCTTTCCACATCACAGTGGCCCCCCCCGACCTCGCGTGTGCCATCCCTTCCAGCCTGATACCGCTCTCCCTCCTTTCCCCCTCCTTCCCTCATGCTCGTCTTAAAGCCCGGCCCCACACCTGGTCTCGCCCTGCATCGGGGGGCTCCCTTCGTTCCCTTGGGACACTCAGGCACTCTCCACCTCTGTCTCCGTGACTCTGTCCCCCCAGGCTTGGAGCAAGGACTCACAGCCTCTGTCTCCTTTAGGGAAAGGAAGGCATCATTGGGCCCCTTGGAATTCTGGGACCTTCAGGACTCCCGGTATGTACAAGGAGAAGATAGCTGGGACCCTTGGTCTTCCCAGTTCAGTGTCTCTGTGATGCTGGGCTAGGCTGAGCCTCGGTTTCCCCTCGATTCCCATCTCATGGGCTGTGGTTTGTTGCAGGGTCCGAAGGGTGACAAAGGCAGCAGAGGGGACTGGGTGAGTGGCGGGGCTGCGGGGTGGGACAGTGCTGTGGGTGAGGGAGGGCCCTGCCGTGGATAGGCCCCTGATTCTCGGTCCTCCTTCTGTCTCTCTCCAGGGACTACAAGGCCCACGGGTGAGTGGCCCGGGGTGTGAGGGCTGGGGTGGGGGAAGGGCTGGAGGACACCTGGGGTCTCATTCCTGTGGTTTCTGATGTCCTTGGCATGCTCGGGGCCCTTTTGTGCCACCACTGTCCTGGGTGCTAGGCAGCCTGAAGAGAGCCAGGGCGGGCATGGGAGGGAGGGTAGGAGGCCCCAGCTGTCCCGGTCTCACTAGTCTCTTCCTGTCTCTCTCTCCAGGGTCCTCCCGGCCCCAGAGGGCAGCCTGGCCCACCGGTAGGTCGACTTCATACTGGGCACTGTGAGCTCCCTGGGGAGAAGGTGACCCCCTATGAATGGGACCCCAGCTTTGCGGGGGGAAGCAGCCTGAGAGGACCCACATGCTCCTACCAGTCCTCAGACTTCGAAGAGCACAGTCTACTTTTGGGATTGGGGGAGGGGAGGGGGGGAGAGCAGGCAGCTGAGCCTTGGGGGAGCCAAGACCAGCTCGAGAGCACTGTTTGTATGCGACAGCCCCTCCAGATTCCTGACACTCCAAGTCTACAGCACCCCACCTCCATCCACACTGACTTCTGTCTTCTTTCACAGGGCCCTCCAGGGCAGACCGTCCTTTTTGTAAGTTGGAGAATATTCTCTTAGGTCTATTTGGGGTGGAAAGGGAGGCCCGGGCAGTAGGAGAAGCAGCTGAGGCTCCTCTGGCCACAGTGACTAAGACTCCAAATGCATTTGGGGTACACATGTCCTTTTGTCCCTAGAGGAGAGGCTGTGGGGAGGAGGCTGGAAGTTGTTTTCTGCTTAGTCCCCACCCAGGGGCTATACACAGATCTCTCTGCCTGCAGTTCTGAGACAGTCCTTGCTACAATGCAGCTATATGGATGTAGACATAGATGCAGATATACTAGTGTACACTTCGTACAGAAGCAAGGAGGTTGCACCGGGGTATTTCTGCCCCTGCCCCTGTGTACTTGGATCGCACACTCACCTCTCTTCCTAAGTGGAATTTACCAAGTGCTCACTGAACATCAGACTCCACGATAAGCGCTTCTCTTGTGTGAAGTCCCGTCTTCCACACATCACTTCTTGGCCCATTGTGCAGACCAGACCTGAGACAGAACTGGGCCTGGTGTCGTTAGGAAGTGGCCAGCTGGGATTTGGCCCTGCCCAGTTCTTCCAGAGTCCCTCTCTGGAGCCCAATCCCAGGACAGTTCTGCGTGATCTCAGCAAGCCTGAGACCAGGCCTCTGCTGAGCCCAACACGGGGTTAGAGATCAAGGGCATGGCATGGGAGACCAGGCCAACGTGAGCCAGAGGAGAAGCCTGCGGACGTGGAGAAGTTATGGCACTGCTGATATCAACAGGACACAAGCAGGCATTGCTTCTAGCAGTCAGACAGCCCTGCAGTGGCAGATGGGGGCACACTCCTAGCCTCTAACCACAGGGATGGAGTAGCACCCCACTCTCTAGTTGTAACAATCAGGACTGTTCCCAAGTATTGGTAAATATCCTCTGGGGGCATTGTCACCTCCAGGAGAAGAGCTCTGGTCAAGGAGGTCATTCCTCAGAGGGAGGAAGAATTTTCCAGGCAATGGAACAGCCTTCTAAGGGTCCGATGGCTGTTACATGCTCTGTCCCTGAGTGCTATGCTTAAGAAGTTAGCGTAAGCCTGGATAGTAAGCTCAGGGCTAGAGCACAAATAAGGGCAGGAGGGGCTCGGGCCTCAGACGAGGTCTGGTAACCATGTTGAGAAATTGGGACTTAATTCTGGGAGTACCAGGGAGCCCCTGAAGCACTAAGAGGAAGAAAGTGGCAGGATCAGCTGTAGCTTTGTAAGAGGAGAAACGAGTTCTACTCAGGGATTGTGTCTTGGCCAAGATCCTGCCATAGAAGAATGAGTGGAAGACTGGGGGCTTGAGCTAAAGTTCATATTTTCTAGGTCTGGGAAAACCTGAGGGGCCAAGTTATGCATCTAGCTCTTTTCTTTTCTCCCTTCCTTCCTTCCTTCCTTCCTTCCTTCCTTCCTTCCTTCCTTCCTTCCTTCCTTCCTTCCTTCCTTTTCTTTCTTTCTTTCTTTCTTTCTTTCTTTCTTTCTTTCTTTCTTTCTTTCTTTCTTTCTTTCTTTCTTTCTTTCTTTCTTTCTTTCTTTCTTTCTTTACTTGCTTGCTTGCTTGCTTTCAGTCAATCTTGACCCTGGAACTCAGGGCCTGGGCACTGTCCCTAAGCTTTCTTTGCACAAGGCTAGTGCTCTACCATGTTGAGCCATAGCCCAACTTCTGGTTTTCTGGAGATAAGAGTCTCACAAACTTTCCTGCCCAGGCTGGCTTCAAACCATGACTCTCAGATTGCAGCCTCCTGGGTGGCTAGGATTATAGGCGTGAGCCACCCACCTGCACCCAGCTCATCTTTTTGTTTTCCCTGTGCAGCAACGAGATGACCTTGGGGCAGCTTTCCAGACGTGGATGGACATGGATGGAGCACTCAGACCAGAGGTACCGCCAGGAGCTCTGCCCACATGGTATTCTTTCCTGGGAGAAATGGACCCTAATGGACACAGGAGGTCGATGCCATCAGACAGCTCTGATGGGGGTTATTTCTGGGACTCAGAACAAATGGGCAGCAGCAACAAATCCAAAGTCGTCCCAGGTCTTGTGATTCCCCCGGTCCTCTTAGATCTTGGGCTCTGGCTGGCCTGAGTCAGGGAGAGATGGTCACCTGGCCCCAGGGCCTGCAGCTGCTCTTCACAACCAACTCACAAGGAGGTCTGGGCCTGTCAGCTCTGCTCCAAGGCTCCAGGCAGAGAGGGGCCTTGTGTACTGTAATCCAGCCCCTGTCAAAGCCCCCTTTGCAATCTTGCAGCTTTCCTGCCATGGGGCGCTTCCTATCCCCAGCTAGATGTCCCACCTGGGCCCTATTTGTTCCCTGACAGTGCAGAAGAAAAGGCAGTCGACAGAGCCAGAGGGGAGGGAGACCAGTTGGGGGGAGGGGGGTGGAGTGAGGGGGAGAGTGTTTCCTTCCATGGCAGAGGCTCGGTGGACGGTCTGGTAATAGAACTCAGCAGAGATGATTTCTCACACACATCAAGAATGCCTACCAAGGGCCTCTGCCTTCTTCTCTCTCATCCATGGCCCTCATGGTGGTCTCATATCAGGGTAGGCCACACCAGAGAAGAGAACGCTGAGGCTGGTGGAGGAATCCTGGCCAGGCCTTTCAGAGGACATTGCCTAGCTCCCTTTGTGTGGGCCTAAGCAGCCTCGTGGGTGGTTGAAGACCTCTGACCACATGTACTTGTGCCCAGGTCCCAACCACCTCCAGCATGGTTTACTTAGTGCTGGCTTAGATAGAGTTCTGGTGCTGGGTCATCACATGCCAACCCCAGCGGGTCAGAGACTCCCAAAGGCTCTTCAGCTTTCTACCCAGAGGGACTCAGTCTTCCCAGCTATGAGCCTAGGGGCTCATAGGTTTCTCCCAGGTGGGAAAGACTTGGGGAAGCAAGAGTCTGGGGTATTGGCCTTCAATAGGACCAAAAGGGCTAACGGCCACAGCTCTCCTACAACAGGAGTACAGCTATTCTGACCATCTGGTGCTGGACCAGGGAGGGCAGATCTTCAAAACCTTACACTACCTCAGCAACCTCATCCAGAGCATTAAGACGCCCCTGGGTACCAAGGAGAACCCAGCCCGGGTCTGCCGGGACCTCATGGACTGTGAGCAGAAGATGGTGGATGGTAAAGTATCTGTAGGGGACTGAGGAGGGACATCCTTCCCTGGGGGTGGATGACAAGTCGGGTGGGCGAATTCCAGCGGGAGTGGGGACGGATCGAGTCTGAGATTTTTCAGTGCTCTTTGGCCAAGTTTGTGTCCCTAGGAAGACAGACACATGGGCCGTCAGTCATTCACCCAGCACATGCCACTGAACCCACCCCAGGGGCCATTAGAAAACTATGGGGAGCAGAGAGGAGAGGTCCCCTTTTTCCTTAATCCATTAACTCACATCCCTCACGGGCTTGATGTCCATGCCACTCCCAGCTTCAGGCCCGAGTGGGCTCAGCGGGTCACAGATACAGGCCTATCTACAGAGCGGAGTTTGGGCACCTCCCAGATGCACACGTTTGCCATGCAGGTACCTACTGGGTAGACCCTAATCTTGGCTGCTCCTCCGACACCATCGAAGTCTCCTGCAATTTCACACACGGTGGACAGACCTGTCTAAAGCCCATCACAGCCTCTAAGGTATCCACCCCTCCCCCCCTTCCCCCATATCACGGCGGATGGGCCCATGCCCAGCCCAGTTCTCTCCCAAGTCCCCCAAAGACCTACCTTCCTCCCACCGGGGAGGGAGGCTCCTACAGGCTCCATTATCTCCCAACAGCCTGTCCCACTGTTTGCTTCTAGAAGCTCCTGCCCACCCCATAGCCCTCAGGGACTCAGAATGGCTGAGAGCGCATCCTGGTTTCCTCTTAGCTTGGGCAGGAGCCTTTTCCTGATGTGGTCTCTAGACCCTGCTCAGCCCCAGTGCCAGCCACGTTGGGGAATGGAACGGGCCACAGTACTGAAGCTCTGGTTCTGGGGCTCAACAGCTGCTTCTTAATGACAAGGCTGTGAGTGCTGCCCACACAGACTCATTCCCTGTCTTCCCAGTGAGCAAACATTTAGGTATCCCCCCTCCACCCCCCCCCCCCGCCCCCTCCACCTGTGTCTTCCCATAGGTGGAGTTTGCTGTCAGCCGGGTCCAAATGAATTTTCTGCACTTGCTGAGCTCCGAGGTGACCCAACACATCACCATCCACTGCCTTAACCTAACGGTGTGGCAGGAGGGCCCAGGGCACTCCCTGGCCAAGCAGGCCGTGCGCTTTCGGGCCTGGAATGGGCAGATCTTTGAAGCCGGGGGTCAGTTCAGGCCGGAAGTGTCTGTGGATGGCTGCAAGGTAACTGTTAGAGCCCTGGATGGATTGGCCCCTCACTTGGGAAGCTTTGCCTTCTGTATGTAAAATTCTAGCTAACAGAAGGAAGGGGGACATGGTCAAAAAAGAAATATACTCATCCAGTATGTACTCAAGCAGTAACCCCTCTTGACATTACTTTTATAATCATAACAGTAAAAGTAAATAAGAGAGAGAAAGAAGAAAGGAAGGAAGGAAGAGGGAGAAGGAAGGAAAGAAGGGAGGGAAGGGAAGAAGTCTGCCAGGTGCCTGTGGCTCCTGCCTGTCACCATAGCTACTTGGGAGGCTGAGATGGCATCTTCATTGGAAGCCAACCCAAGCATACAGATCTGAGGGAGTCATATCCCCATTTTTCTAGCAAAAACCTTCCCAGAGGGGTGATATTGCCTAAAAGGAATGATCCTTTTATTATCTTTTTAAAATATTCTAGCTCTACATTAGCATGGTGTATGTAATTTTTACCCTCATGTAATGATCTCATTAGAATTGGTTTTCTCAGAAAGTTGTTCTGGACCCTTCTAAGCTGGTGAATAATAACATGGACACCATCTTCAGGTGTCATTGCTGCTGTGGAATGCAGCATCATTAAAACCTGGCTGGGGGGTGGGGAGTGACGTAGAGATAATGGCAAAGCATCCACAGAACCTGAGGAGAGCATGCACACTCTTTCTTCGACCTGCAGGTTCACGATGGCCGCTGGCACCAGACACACTTCACCTTCAGGACCCAGGACCCCCAGCAGTTACCCATTGTCAGCGTGGACAACCTCCCTCCCGCCTCATCCGGGAAGCAGTATCGCCTCGAAGTTGGACCTGCGTGCTTCCTCTGACCTCTGACGTCTGGGTGCCTCTAGGCCTTCTGGGGAAGGAAAGAGAATAAGAGGCAAGAGCAGGGCCCCTCTGCCTTCTGGGGAGGTTCCAGCTGCAATCTTCTCAGTAGGAATGGGTGGGGAGCAGCAGGCCCTGGGCTGGGCTTGGGAACAACTGATCCTCATGTAGCCCCCCCAAAGAACCAGCCAGAACAAGTTGAGCTGCAGCCCATCTGTGCCCCTCCACCTATCTCCCAGCTCCAAAGCCGTCCCCGCCCTCCCGGCTCCCTCCCCAAAGAGCCCCATGCTGGAGCTGGCTTGAGGGAAGGTGGTAACTTGTCAGCTGGTCCCTGCCAGGGAGCTTTTGATGTGCAATATTAGAAAAGGAGACATGGAAAAAAAGAGAGAGAGAGAAAAGAAGTATATATATATATATAGTAAGATATGTTATTTAAACAAACAGATGTGTTACTATTTTTTTTCACCTGGGAGAGAGATACAGAAGAGAAGAGCAGTGAGGGGGAGGGGAGAGGTAGGTGGTAAGGGAGGACGCAAGATGGGGCTGGGGTACCCAGGCCAAGTTACCTCCCACTGTGAATTCGCTGGTGCTCACAATCATCTTGTGTAGTATATGTAATTGTGTTTTTAAGGAAAAACAAAAAGAAGAAAAACTCTATTTAAGATTCTGAAGGTGCTACTATTTTTGCCAGAGACTTTGATAGTGGGCATTCATCTACATCTTTCTTCCTCCTCCAAATGACCAAGATTGGGGAAGTTCTCATTTGCCTAGCATGGCCCATCCACTAAGCAAAGCGGGGGGAGAGGGGATGAAAAGAAGAAAAAGTAAGCAGAATGCACAACAAAACAAAAAGTCTATCTGAAACAGGAAGTCAGAAGTCGAGCACTCTCCTGTTACCTTATGGACTTTAACATGACTCTCCTTTGATGGAGCATTTAGTCTTCATCTTTGGTCAAGTGGTTTCGGAGTGCTGGGCTTGTCCTGGAAGGCCTCGTGACCTACATAGAAGAGAAGCCTTGAAGTTGAAGAATCGAGTTCCAAAAGCAGCAAGAGGTCAGAGCCAGCCTTGGAGGCAGAATGTAAATACTGAACCACATCAGGCCAGGTCCTGCCTCGGGAACTCCACCCCTGCAAACGCTGTCTACCTTCTTGCCTTCAACCCATGTCATGGCCCATCATGTTCTGCCTGCCAGTGACAATCAGTGTGATCAGAATTGTCACGTGTCATGGAACAAAGGAAACCTGAGTTTGGATTTTTGAAGTTATTTTTTAACTATGGACTTATTTTTCTAGAAGGGGAAAGTGTCTGTGAAAGTCTCTGTGTATTTCTAAGGTTGTGTCTCTTTGGGAATTGGATATTATTTTCACTATTTAATGCTTCGCCCTGGCCTGCCCTTCCTACCACCTCTGTACCCCACCTGCCACCCCAATCTGAGCGCTCTCCAGGAAAGGGCATGTTTGTCCTAGCAGCTTAAGCTCATCTCGGCAGTGTCCCTTCAGCTGCCAGTCTTCCCTCAGCCTCCCTCATTCTGGATTCTTCCATGTGCTCGTTTGTTTCTGTCCCTATGTCACTGTGTTCAAACCCAGTGGGTTCCCTTTCTTTTTTCCCTTTCTGGGTTTTAAATAAATACTTAAAACTGAGGCAAAGGAACGACGTGTGTGGGGTCCCCTGCTTCTTTGTAAAGCTTGCAGGCAGTTTCTGGTAGGGTATGGCGGAGGGAAGATGAGTGGAGGGTATTCAGTTCAAGCCAGGGCAAATATGGTGGGGCAATATTCCCTCCAAAACCCTCCTGCATCCCATAACCGTGGTGAGATTAGAACCCAGGACATCACACATGCCTAGCCATCATTCCACCACTGAGCCATACCCAGCTCTCTCTTTCAGTGTCCTTCTGATGGTGTCTCCAATCACTTTGGTTTTTGTTATTGTGGTGGTGGTTTTGTTGGTCGTGGCGTTTCAACCTCAAGGGCTTGGGCACTGTCCAGGAGCTCCTTTACTCAAGGTGAGTGCTCTACTACCAATTTCAGTTTTCTGGCAGTTAATTGGAGATAAGAGACTCACAGACTTTCCTGGCTGAGATGGCATTGAACCGTGATCCTCAGATCTTTGCCTCCTGAGTAGTTAGGAAGGCAGGCCTGAGCCACCGACGCCCACTTTGTTTTTATAAGGACACCAGTCATACTGGGTATGACCCACCCTAATGACCATATCTTCCCTTGATGGAGTGTGCATAGACTCTGTCTCCAAATAAGAAAACCCAGCAGTTCTTTATTATTGTACCTACTGTGAAATTCATATTAATGACATCTACCACACTCACAAGCTGTGTAGCTGTGGGACCACCCACCTTCCTGTCTTGTTTCCTAACATCTCACCCCATTTTGTAGTCACTTCCCAGTATGATATGTCTAAGATCACCCATGTTTTTCATGTATCAATACTTCATTTTTTATGGCTGAATAATAGTTCATTGTAGTCAAACAACTGAGCCCCAGTATATTAGAAGCTGCCATAAAATATGAACCAAGAAAGAGGCAGACAGAGCCAACACCACACAGCGTGCAATTGTCTGTAGACTTATTGACAGAAGTATGGTACCGGTACCAGCCCAACTGGTCCCTCTGGATCAGAAGGAAGGGCATTAGGGAAAAAGTGACTTCACCCAAGCTGTCAAGCACTCCCCTCACAGGATCCACACACCATTGTAATGGTACTGTTGATAGTTTGCTGGGAAACACTGCAGGGAAAACTGAAGGGTCACTCATGGAAGGACAGTCATGGAAGTCATAGTTCAAGATGGCTGTGCTCATGTCAAGCGGAATCCATACACAAAATAGACCACACTTTATCCATTCATTGGGAGGAAGACAGCTGGCCCATGGCAAGGCCTGTGCTATACCATAGAGCCACACCACCACTCCTTTTGCTTTCAGATGGGTTCTCTTACTAGCTTGCCTTAGGCTGGCCTTGAGCGATATCCTAACATCTTATGCTGTCTCCTAAGTAGCTGGGATTACAGGTATTCACCACACACCAACCCTAGCCCGTGAGATTCTTGAGCAAAGTCACCGTGGCACCTGCCAAAGAAGAAGTACAAGAGCACAAGTCTGTGGGACTGGGTTGTCAGGATAGGAAAATAAAACACAGAACACCCAGGTAAATTTTAATTTCAGACAATAGTGCAATATTTGTGATGTATCTAAACTGAAACAATGTAGTTTATGTGCAATTTGATAGCTGTGTCTCAGGCACCCAGATCTCCTGATCCTGGTTTGGTTCATATCTCTGTGTTCCTTCAATCTGCTCCTTCCTGGGATCACAGAGTGAATCAGAACTTTTCTGCTTTCTCCTATAGAAGAACACAAATCACCACAGTTGTGTTCACACCCAAGACCGAGGTGTGTGGTCCCTGTGGGGAGGGTGCTTGACTCTTGGATGTTAGCTTGCAAAACCTGCGCTGAGTTTTCAGCAATTCAGGCCTGTTCTCTGTGTCAAGTAGTGAGGGACACTAGGATTCCCACCCTAGGCCATGAGCTCTGCAGCCACCCTGCCAAGGCCCAGAGAGCCCTGTAGCCCTAGGGGAAGACAAGGCCAAGCTGTAACTCAATCCCAAGACTGCAGACAACATCGGTCAGCACCTTAGACTCAGATCAGAAGTGACAGCTCCCACAGGCTTGATAAACCAGTTCCCAGCTTCACCCCAGCCCATGGAACCACAAACCCCAATGATGGTATGTTGACATCCCACCTCCCCAGAGGCCCCAGCAAACATGGCTCTGTTTCCTAAGGCTGGAAAATGATTTCCCAGGAATGGAAAGGGTAAACAAGTTAAAACTTGAGAATGGGGAATAAGGATATTCTTTTTTATTTCTTTAGTCATCAGTTATGGAGATAACCCACCCATTTCCTGAAACATTTCCTGAGATTACTATGCCGTAGTGGGTACCCCAAAAGATATCCAGCTGTTTCTGTTGCTTCCCTTTTTGTGTCAATGGGAAATTCACATCCAAGTCTATTTGTTCTGTAGAAAGCTTCTCAAGGCATCGTCAAAGATTGCCCATGTGCCTCTCATCTTCATGTTCCCGATGCCCGTCCATTGGGCATGTCAAGCAGTAGGGGATGCTGGGGTACCAACCTTGCTAACAGTGCATGCTCACAGCTCTAAGTCTGGAGGATGCTGTTGGAAGGGTGGGGCCTGGACTGCTGCATTCTGGGAATGCAAGGTGCTCACTCTAGGTTGTGGGGCAAGATGGCGGCACAAGCCAGAGAGCAGGATAAGCCTCAGGGATGCATGGAAGAACAGGAGCTGAACTCTCTACTTGAGTCAGGCTGCCAGGGGACTTGGAGCAGAGCTGTTCAGGTAGCCTTTGGCTGAGCTTTGGGCACAGATTGGTGGTCTTCTCCTCCACCAGAGCTCAGAGAAGCCCCTGCAGATGGGTTTGGCAGCCACAGGGGCATGAGAGAGATGGCAGGCAGGTGCTGGAGCTCAAGAGCAAGAGGGGCTGTGTCAAAGCGGTGGCACTCACACCACCACCTAGCCCGATCTCTGACCAGGACAGTGAAGGACCCTGGAGCTGGGCCACTTCATTTCCGGTAGCCATAGCTGGCAGGCTCTTTGGTACAGAAGGCCACTCTCCCTATACTGGCAGCGTTCGCGGACTCCTGTTTCACAATGAGTGTCAGGAAGGAGGTGGAGTGGATGTCCCCACTGGGCCAGCTCCAGGGGAAAGCCAGGGCCCTGTGTGTGCTCTGTCCACAGTGGGTCACTTCCAGCCGTGCCAGTCCCACCCACAATGACAAGCACTACGGTAACGGGAAAAGGAGAGGGGTGAGAGGCTGGCAGGTGAATTCCAGCGTAGCGCAGGGCCCAGACAGCTGAGTCAGCTTCTCCCTCTGGGCCTCAGTTTCTCCCTCTGCCAAATGAGGATGGTATGTCCTGTTGTGCCAGCCACAGGAGGGGCTACTGTTCCTTAGTGTGGTAACATATGGGATGGAATATTAGTTGCATTTTGATGTATGACATTCAGAGTCAGCCTAGTGCTGACTCTGTGGCTCATGCCTGTGATCCCTGCTACTCAGGAGGCTGAGAACGAAGGATCATGGCTTAAAGCCATATCAGGTAGAAAGTCTATGAGACTCCAACAAACCATCAAAAAGCCAAAATGAATCCAGCGCCAGTAGCTCCTACCTACTCAAGTCTGAGGACTGCGATTCACAGCCAGCCTAGACAAGATCCATGAGACTCTTAATTTCCATTAACCTACAAAGTAAAAAAGAAAAGCCAAAAGTAGAATTGTGACTCAGGTGGTAGAGCACTAGCCTTGAGGTCTGAGATCCTGGTTTGAAGCCAGCCCGGGCAGGAAACTCTGTGAAACTTTTATCTAATTCAAGCTCCAGGACTGACAAAAACAAAAGAAAGGAAAGAATGAAAGGAAGGAAGGAAGAAAGAGAGAGAGAGAAAGATAAAAAGAGAGAGAGAGAAAGAGAGAGAGAGAGAGAGAAGAAATCCGGTGGCCTGTGGCTCAGCCTGATAATAGCATTCTGAGCAATGATGGTGTCAGATTCTTGCCCAGACCATGAGTCTGGCTGAGTGCTCCACGCCATCGGCCTTGTCACCTCCACACACAAC